CACGGCCTCCACAGACGCATGTCGATGCTCCTGCATCTGCCGCGGGAACTTTTGCGGAGGGAGGATCCAGGCCTGAGAACACCATTGTCCATCTCGAATTGACCCTCCCTACACTCATCAGCAGGAATGACAGAGGTGCTCTCTGTCCAGCTGGCAGACGGCGCGCCCTTCTCCCATGCCCCGCTCCGCCGCTCATCAGCTTCCCACACTTCCTTCTTCGACTCGGCCACCTTTGGCTCATCGAGAAAAAATAATTACTCACACTCCGACTTGCGTTCTGACTCCCTGAGTTCCTCCCAGACGTCGTTCCAGTCCACGCCCGCGAGCAGTTTGTCGTTGGATACAAGGTTTGAGGACGACGACGAGGACGACGATGCACTTGCGTTTCCAGCATACTCTGGCGGCCATTGTGTGGATCTGGAAGAAACCAGTGACCCCCCATCAAGCCCCGTCAATGCCAATTCTCGTCCCCCGCCCTCCCCCATAGATGGCGTCGTGTCCCCAACAACATCGACCCCTGATCCCCTGTTGATATCAGAAGACGACACAGCCGTCAGGGTGGAGCCGTCTCAACACGTAGATTATCTCTCGTACGAATGGAAAGAAGAGGACATCTGGTCGTCGTGGCGGCACATCGTCACGCAGCGCAAAGTCTATGGCGAGCGGTCCAGGCTAGAAAATGCTTCGTGGCGAACCTGGGCGAAATCTCAGTTCAAACTTCAGACTGTCTCCCCAGAAACATTGAATTGGTTCGTTCAGCCTTCACCAATCCTTGTCGTTAAATCTCGCCCACGGTTCAAGCGTCATGCGTTGACCAACGTATGAACTGTATCCCATCCCAAAGATATCCTTCATCAAAATTCAACAATTGCTAATCAATTGAACAGGCTAAAAGACTGCGATGTGACATGGCTCTACGGGCCTCTGCAACCTGCATCAAACCGATTCCTTTCTCAACACCAATCGGAACCCATTAGCCGGTTATCAAAAAATAATTCATTTTTAAACAAGAAACCGATCTTAAAGAAACGAAGCGTGTCGGAGGTTATGCTTCAGAAGTCACTCTCAGCCTCGTCACTTGTCAAGCAAGCGGCAGCTGCAGTACAGGCACAACAGGCGAATGGTGCTACACTAGAACGGAGACGGCAGAGACCAATCATTGGTTGTGCTCCCTCAGATTTCGTTACCTCTACACTTCCATCACAGACCGTCAGCCGGGATCCCATAGACTCCTTTTCTTCGCGGTCAACATCTGGACTGCATACACCCGACCATGCCGAGCGACGCCATATCCGTTTTGATGACAAGGTGGAACAGTGTATCGCGGTCGATATCAAGGACGGCGAGTATGATGACGACGAGGACGCCAACGATAGTTGGGCTATGAACGATGACGACGATTCCTCCGATGATGGAGTTGTGATGATGAAGAAATCACGCAAGAAACGACCGTTATCTCGGACCAACTCAAGAAGTAGCTTTACTGGAGAAAGTAAAACGATTGCGAAGCTGCCCTCTACGACCCTTAAGTATAGGACTGACTCCCCGGATGTCACAGAGCAGCAGCCAACCCATTCACTTGGGTTCTGGCGCTCCAGTCGTCTCTCGCCATCACCATCGCAGGAAACCCTTCGACCATCAAATCCCTCGACTAATTTCCTTCTCCCGGAAGAAGATGACGAGGAAGATGTTTCGTGGGAACCATCTGGCGCTTATGAAGTTAAGCGTGCGAGCACACCTAGCCCGTCGGATTTTTCGTCAACCCTCTCCAACTCATTTCCTGAGTATTCTTCTGAATCTGGTGGACTTCGGCGAACTGCTTCCGGCATGTTCATGCCTTACGACGAGGTAGATGATGACCCTGTTCCACCAGGAATTATTGGTCGAGTAGTGGATACAGTGAATACAGCGAGAGACATAGCACATGTGATATGGAACGTAGGCTGGCGAAATTAGCAATATTGATCATCACCTTGTTTGGCGCTGGTTTGGCTCGTTGATCATAGCATTTGGCCTGGGTGGCTTTTTTTTTTTTTTTTTGAATTAGGTACGCACATAGTCGGTTTCGAATTTGGGTTTCGGGCAGGCGGTGGTGTTTTTTGGACGGTTCCATCAAAGCCATGGCTTCGGCTAGCATCACGACCGCAAGAGCTGCGGAAGAGGCTTCAGCTGCAATGAATAACAATTTCATGCCAAATCTGGCCGCTGCAGATCGCGAAATGAGTCCTGTTACGTAACTTACCTGGTAGATATACATGTTACTTGGCGGAGATCACGTGACACGCCTTCAGCCCCTGGTTCCGTGGTTCGCGTTGCGGCTCCAAAGATCCGCAACGCGACCCCAAACTTTCTTTCACCACCATTCACGGCTTGCCGAGCACCCTCGTGCATTCTTAGCTCTTGGAGGCATTCTGCATGCATATTCACTATATCTCGATACAATTGTGATGGCCTTATGATTTACTGTTCGACACACTAGCACAGCCCTTGGAATTGTGGATCTGGTCTCCCTGCCATGGACAACCTGAATGTTCGGGAGCTCGTTGAGCGCTTGAGCAGCGATGAAGAGTCGGTGCGAAAGATGGCAGTGTTCAAATTGCAATCTGCCATTGGGGACCCCTCGTTTGCAGACGTCTTCATTAACGAAGGCGGCCTACCCAAACTCCGATTTTTGGCTCTACATTCCACGGGGAACACTCTGGCATATTGCCTGACATCTCTATCGCGACTCTTGGAGCTTGACAAGGGCTGGGACCATGTCACGGATGATCTTATCAAAAGAGTAAGCCCAGTCATAGTTTCCATCGGACAGGCGATTAAGTTCTAACATTGTTCCTCCAGGTTGTGGAACTCGTCGTCGCACAACCGCTCGTTAACGTCAATCGAGGCGCGATGTCTGTCCTCGCAGCCATTGTCGGTCATCCTCACCATCGCAATTCTCAGCCCGGAATGACTGGCTTTCAGCGACTAAAGCCTGCTGTAGAACTCCATCCCCAATTCCTCCCCATGCTCGTCGAAAAGATTACGTCGGCCGACCACGCACTATGCGCGAATTCACTCCAGCTCATTAACTCTCTAATGCGAGATGCAATCGCCAACGACGAAGACTTTGAGTGGCCGCGGTTCATAAAACAATTGCAGGAGCTGGGAGTGATAAAGAGTGTATACGGGCTGATGCAAAGCTCGGCCGTGCAAGACTTGGCACACCCGTTGTTGGAATTTCAGTCGTTGACCAAAGTGCTCCTCAGGAAGTGGAGAGAGGAGAAGGTTGACCTGGAAAAGCCAGACCACCGCAGAGCTATACGAGGGTTGCACGTTGCGAGCAATCCGGAGAAGCCAGGAAGCGGAGTGGATCCGAAGGGAAGCAAGAAGAGCAATCCTGCGAAATGGAGGCGACTGGGGTTCGATACCGAGTCCCCCGCATGGGAATTCAATGCTACTGGCTTTTTAGGACTTATGGATCTTACAGATTTCGTATACAAGAACGAGGACGGTTTCCAGAAGCTGTTGCTCGAACAGTCCGCTGAACCGCAAGAACAGCGTTGCCCTATTGCTCGAGCTAGCCTTGCGGTTACGTCCATCCTTTATGAGCATTTTGAAGTTGAGAAGTCCGATGAAGGCGATTCCCATAGATATGTGTCCTTGGACTCACGCACTCATTTTGACAGGGCATTCAAGCCTCTGCTACTGCATTGGTCGCGACTACACACCGGTGGACTAAACGCGTTCATCAGGCTCTGGACAGCAGCTGGAGCAAAAACGGAGGATTTCGAGAAGATTGAAGAGCTGGTCAGGATTTTAGTAGAGCAGATCGTGGGACAGGCGCCACGTATAAGGGAGATTAAAGATGTAGAAGAGGAATTGGCCGATTTCGAAATCCAGCGACTACGGGAGCTTCAGATGGAGCTCCTCGAGCTTACATATGAGGATGCATGGGGACATCATTTACGGTAAGTCTGGGCTTTCTCATAATCCCCATTTGACCTGACCATGCATAGACAAGTTCGGGACGAGCTCAACCACGAAGCCCTTCAATTCGTCAAAGAACAGCGCATTAGGTGTCTCCTCCAGGGCGCCTGGTTCCCTCAGGCCATGAACTACGGCGCTGATGCTGGCCCCATAACGAGCAAGACCCTTAGTCGATCAGTGCCGTCGTCGTGGCGCTTCGTACGATTGTCCCATAATCGTCGATATTTGCATTATGCCGATTTCGAAGAGAAGATGGCAACAGAGCCAAGACTGGATGCCTTATCAGAAAAAAGTGAGTGTTGAAAGCGCACATACGCTAAATAGTTTAGCGCCGGGGTTTGACATTCTTATAGTTGATCTCTCCATCGTATCTTCGGTTGTCAGCAACGTGTCGGCGTCGGCCCCCTCGACATCTTCGTCTGACAGCACGCTGATGACGCTGCCGGGTCATGCTTCTACTTCGACAAAGATTACGATCCATGGATACCTCCCGGCGTCTAGTCACAAGCGAGATCATTCCGATGCCTCAAGCGCAGGTCAGAAGGAATCAGTCCTTCTGCAACTTCATCCCCAAAGCCACACTCTTGCATCCGAATGGTTGGACGGGCTGCTTATGCTCCTCAACCAACAGCCAATCACGGCGGATACCAACAAGTTGGTGAATCTGATCGGCGGCTACGGGTTGAAGATTCGACTCTTGAACGTAAGGTTTGAAGACGTTGGAATGGAAGAGCCGGTCTTGCCGAGTCGGGAGGGACTTGACGATGACTACTACTACGACATTGGTGGCATGGAGGCTGGGGTGTGATGCAATCTGTGGTACATTTGCCATTACTATTCTCGACCTTCGCTATTGTTTCAACCTGTTAAGCGTTGGTAACTAGCAGCAACTGCTCGCAACTACCCTTGTAGTAGCAAGGATCACCTTTTCCGGGCAGGCGCTACTTCGAACACAGTCTGACCTTGGCGACGATGTTGGATATTCAAAGACTTGCATAAACTAGCCCCAGGGTTATGCCTGAGTGTTTTTCGAATGTGGGATTGGAGATGGATTTGCACTTTGAGATACCCTTTTTGAAATTCAGCAATGACCTGCTTCATGTTCCGAAACGCCACGATTTGAGATCTTGATTCGCCACTGATACTGACACGGAATCCTGGAATCGTTGAGCACGTTTCGTTTCTGCAATGTTTGACAAGCTCCTCTAAGCAGAGCGACAACTCCCTGTTGAGATTGATTCCATCTCTATAATTGGCTTGTTCCGTACATCAACTTATCACCTAACATGGAACATGACAAGGTGGTACCTTTGTACTGAAAATGGTATCCGGTTGACATTCGCCCTCATTCTAGTAAGAGCATTAATAGAGGCTCTTTTGCCTATTTATCTTTAATGTTATCTGCTGAGAAGCTGTTTTAATGATTTCAAGCCTTTGCCATCCCTGTCTCTTTAAACAGCAACCATACACCCTCGTCCATGTTGCGCTGAGGATTGTCATGCTCCAGTATTGTGTGCCATGATTTGATGTTGTTTCCCTTGAAAGTGATTCGTGTTTTCTTCTGTTCTGCCTTGTGAATCGCCGGGCCAATTTGCTCCTACCTACAGGGTATCCATTGACTAACAATCTTGTCGGCCAACTCATTTTCTTTCGGAATACGGGCTATGTTGAGGGTAAGCTGATGGGGCATTCTCTGACCGGTAGACTTCGATGCAGATGGCAACCTTCGCCCGGCTCAATGACCGCTCAGAGAACCATACCTCGTGCACGACCCTAAGGCTAGAAAACGGTCCATAGGAGCAACATTTGGGGGAACGCTCTTGTTGTGCGGGGCCGAACGCGAGACCACACAAGTGGTCATGGTTAAGCCCTGGTAGTTCATCCAAAGTGCGTGGCAGTTTGTGTACCAGTTTTTCTCCAGTCCAGCCCCTCTATCACCTCGGCACTTTCTAGGGTGCTTGCCATTCAGCTCACACATTGCAGGTTCTGGCCTGGAGCAACGGACTCATCCTGCTGCTGGGTTTGTCGCCTGAAGACCTGGTAGTGACAATGTTCAGCATGCCATCACATGATGTGAAACACAACTAGGTGGATTCAATCTGGGAGGTCCTCTTGCTGGAAATCAGGAGTTGTAGCAACAGGACGAAAATTTCTGCCCTGAATGTACCTTGACATGTTCTACGTTAGGTGATAAGACGCGGTGTAGCGTTTGTCGTCCGGGATGTGCAAAACCGACAAGCAACCGACAAGCTATACCCAGTCAAATTCACATCAAGAAGCCAGTTCAAGAAGCCAGTTCAAGACGTCAGTTCAAGATGCAAGGTCCACACTTCCGGATGCCACTCAGGGTCTTCCAGAAGGGGTCTGCCTGGTGAAACGTCTGATGGACGTGGGTCTTTTTCGTTCAGGTGCTGTCCTCCGAGGAGGGCTAGCGTGTCTCCGCTCAATGCATGGCATCTCGTGCATGTTCGCGACGGTGCACAGGAAAGGCGGGCAGCAGAAGCCGTACTGCTGACTCTGTGTTTATTGTGGCACAATCGGCTGTTCTGGCTCCGCCATTCTGTAGGACTGGGGTAATACAGAACCAGAGTCAGCTTGATGAAAGGCTAAAAGAAGCATATCGATACAGCGTTTATCGATGGCCGTGATTATCATCTGGGGGAGCCAGCCGGGCTTTGATGTCTCAGAGGAAGCTAGTGGTAGGTCTGACAGAATGTGCCTGTCAGCCTGCAAAGCTGCAAGCTGCAAGCTGCAAACTTGCAAACCAGCGATGGGGCCAGATGAAACAGCGGGCGGGAGCGGGGAGAAGGGTGAAAGCGTGCAACGCGAGGGATGCCAAGGCAGCAATTGAAAAGCAGCAATTGAAAAGAAGCAATTGGCGGGGGGGGGTCCGCAAAGGGAGAGGGGCCGCCGCCAAAGCGGATGCAGAGAGTGCTGAAGCAGATATATGATGGGGATGTTGATATTCACGGGTGATGGAGCGACTTGGAGGCCGGTGAATGGGTAGAGCGGAATTGTGGCGTTGGCGCTTTCACCTCAGCACTTGACGACTTGCAGCCAGTGAGCAGTGAGCCAGCGCAGACGCACGACGCAGTAAACAATTCACTTACTCTGACACTTTCACACAGCCTGGCACCACCGCATATCCCGATGGCCAGCGGACACGGCATACAGCCGCCCACCGCCGTTCTCCCTGGGACTCTTCCTCTTTCTTATTGAGCCCATCGCGCCCGTGGCCTGGCAGCGTCTGCGAGCGTCCCCTCTGCTCTGAGCTCTGCGCTACACATCCTCCCCAGACTGCCTCGACGTTCGCGTTCGGATCCCTCGACGCGTGTGAAGACAGGGAAGCAATTCTTAGTGTTGCCCTCACGCCTCCCCGCCCGACTTGTCTGCTCCTGCGCGACAGGAGCTCAAGCAGCCAGCCATGAGGACGAAGCAGCCCGCTGCGCCGTTTTCGCATGCCGAGTTTGAACTTCTTCCCAATGCAGTCCAGTAATGCGCCCCCTTATCACAATCACATTCCCCCAGCCAGTAAGGCATGCAGCCGCAATGCATGAATCCTCATCTCCCCCTCCCCACTACCAATCCGTTCCTGTACCTGACATACCGCATTATTCGCGAGGCCAAAATGCTGACCCTCCCTTTGCTGCAGGAGAAAATACTTCTCGTCACTCGAGCGTCTTCGCCTTGCAGAGGAGCACTCGCTCCAGCAACAAAACCACCCCCACCACCAGCACCGCCGCCGGCAGCCGTCCGCAACCTTCTCACCCCGCTCCTCGCGCCCGTCGTCCAGCAGCGCACCTCATCGCTCGCTGACCTTGGGATCTGCACGCCGCCGACTCAGGAAACCCGAGAGCCTTCGCCAGGAGTACGACATCTCCCAGGCTGAGGCGCATTTCTTCCTCTCCCTCCCTGAGAAGGTCCGCAAGCGGCACTTCTCCCGCGAAGAGCAGGTGTTGCTCGCTTCACGCTGCGACAACCCGTTCATCCTTGGCACCCAATTGTCGTCTCGAGAGAAGAAGCACCTTGACGACTTCCAGTTCGACTTCTTCGACGACTCGGAGAGCACTCCCTCGCGCGGCCGTTCTCGGAGAAGATCTTCGTCTGTCAGTCCCAGCCGAGATCCCTCCAGACCAGCAGAAGAGGTTGATAAAGACGATAGCCTGAATAGCCTTATATATCTGGACAAGATGTCTCCGCCCATGTCCCAACAGACCTTGCCACACTCCACGCCCTTCCGGCGCACTCTGTCCCTTACCAGCATGAGCTTCCGTCATTCGACGTCCTCAGCACCCACGGTGGCCTCCCCGCCTCTCTTCTCCCTTGGTCCACAACCATGGCGCCCAAGGGCTTCATCTCAGACTCAATCGGGACGTCGATCATCTCACACTCCCACCACTCCTGTATTTGACCCCGAGGCGACCCACTACCAAGACCCCGAGGCGAGGAAGAAGCTCCGAATGTACCTGTCCTCAGCGCAGAAGTTTGATGAGGCTGTCGAGTTTGGCTTCCCGTCCGTTGCCGGCAAGGATGAGACCGTCCCTCGCTACCAGCTCCCTCCCATCACCACTGACGCCCGCAACTTCAGCAAAGACATGCAGACCTTCCTTCGCGATGACAAGATGTCTTTCCTAGAAGAGATCGACGATAGCGAGATCCCACCTCACTCTGATGGCGAGTCTGTTACCGACGTCGAATCTCCCGTCACTCCCTCCAGCACAGGCCTTTCCTTCCGCTATCATTCTCCGCATGTACCGTCATCGAATTTCTCTTCTATGGACTCTACAGGTCTACCTCCCGTGCATCCCATACATGGCCGCCTGAACCGAGAAATGACGCTCCGCATGACACTCACACGGCCCGACCTTCGCGCCGACGAGGACCAGTTGTATGGCTGGCAGGCTCTCAAAGGCGGCAAAGATGATCCATTTGCGCTTGAGGAGCTGCACCTCTCAGACGACATGACGGGTGCGAAGGGTCCATTTGCCGTCAAGCCCAAGCAACATGGGAATCTCGTAACCCGGTTGTTTAAGCGGGCAAGCAAGAAGGGATCACGGTGATGGTAATACTAAGCTGTTCCTTCTTACGTTGCAAGAATGACGAGGTATATGTGCTTGATGGCTTACGATGAGATCAGGAAGGCGAATGACATGCGATGACACGCGGGATGCATAACGATGGGATGGGATGGAATGGCAGCACGAATGTTTCTACAATTTCTCTTCTAATACCTCTCTATTTCTCAACCACCTTTCCTATATTTACCCTTTTTCCTCTCATCATGTGCTGCAATTTAGCGGGCGTTCTCGTGTTTCTCCGGTCTGGGTCTCTTAGGTCGATCATGTGGCATGGGAAGACAATTACCGGATCTCTTCCATGTATAATACTTACATGTGTACCGAGGGGGGGGGGGGGGGGGGGGGGGGGGGGGGAGGAGTTCAGTATAAGTACCTGACTACAGGGTACAGTCAGAGCATGAGGGGAAGCAGCGTAGGAGGACGGAAAGCACAAGTAGATCTGCATGATATGATACCCAAGTAAAAAAAAACGAATATTTCTATATATCTTCAGACTATCGAACTGTTCACAGCATGTAGAACACGGCCAAAATCCTCCTGCTGAAATTAGGGGAGAACGTCGGAAGTATGCACACTTTTGTCTTGAATTAAAACCCCTCATCCCCCCTCTCCAATCTTGCAGGTTCCCGATCCTGATTGTAGGGGGGCGAGTCATGGACCATGTGACAAGCGACCAGATCTCTCTTACTCCCAGCTTGATATAGGGAGATACGGGAAATCGACTGCCCCTAAAGCCATGTCTGTAATCCTTAGCTTCATGTGCCTGCATACGCAAGCTTGCATTACGCCAAGTGTGCTCTCAACCCATCCCCAAGCCCCGAGCCCCAGCCCCAGCCCCGAGCCCCGAGCCCCAACTTTCTAGCCCAGCCCTGGATTCTCCTAATTACTTAATCTCTCCACGATCAAACCGCTCCAAAAGCCCAACATCCCAGCCCCGAAACCGTCTCGCATTGGCAGGAAGCAGCATCTGACTCGCCTGCAACGTTTGCTCCAGCTCGTAGTACACGGCTTTGGGAAACGCTACCTCTTCAACCGAAGCGCTTTCGGGTTCCCCGGGCTTTGGCGCACTGAACGTACGTGTTTGGTAGAATATCTTCATCGCTCTTGTTGAATCATGGCGGTTTTCTGAGGGCATGGAGGAGGAGGAGGAGGAGGAGGAGGAGGAGGAGGAGAAGAGGAGGTCTGGTGTGAAGACCCAGAGAAGAAGGGAGGGAATGGGCGGGGGAGAGGGGGAGGTGGTGTCAGGATGGATGTAGAATTTGCGGATGCCGAGGTTTTCGATTAGGAAGAGGATGCGGGCGGAAATCCACTTTTCGATGCTGAAGATGTTTGGATTGGGAGTTAGGGAAGAGGGGGACGGGATGGTGATGCTCCATTTCCAGAGCCGCAGACCGTGGGTGCTGGGGTCGATAGTGCCCACTGTATGACTGCATTGATTGCAGTGGAGCGGAGTTGGTTGAGGTGTAGAGTTTGGAGGAGGCTAGTTACGTCAGTCCCAACTTAATGGACAGAGGAGGAAAGCCATGAGTCGAAAGGAGAGGAGATGTAGCACATGATTTTATCCCGTCATGACCATGAGTCTTCGGTAGACATGACAGTGAAACATCCGGCCGCTCTACCCATGGTATCGGCATACCTACACATGCTAGGGACGGGGTTCGCGCGATACAGTGGGCTTGTAGTAGAGGCTATTGCTATAGGGCGCTAGTATCGACGACGCTGCCATGGAGGAGCTGACTGAGATTGCCTTCTATGCGCCCGGGAGGGTTGTGGGAACGATATTGGGGGGAATAAAAAGAGGGGCAGGACCTACCTCAACGCCTTGACAGTCTTCTTCGACGAGAAGCAAGGTCGCTAGGTCTACGAATCCAATACCTTTAACAGCCTTAAGCTGATTGCCGGCTGCGTAGCCTTTATTTGCAAATGCGGTTTTATGGGCGTCGCCGTGTAAGTGATGCTCGTCCGGCTTATGACAATGCCAAAAGTCCATCATCTCGGCCCAATTCTCGTTTGGTAGATCCCTCCATTCTCTCACTTTCCCGTCAGGTACAAGGAGGGCTTGGCAATTCTTACACAGCACCTCGACGTCTTTCCTAGCATCCAACGACGCACCATCCCAAGGCACCACGTTGGCATTTCTCTCTTCCGCTTGCGCTGCAGCGAGAAAACCACAGCCGTCTTGCTCTTCAATCTGCAATCGAAGCGTCAATTCCTTGCCTGGAGGATGCGCAGGGAGGAACAAGGGTGCATCTCCTCCAGCTTTAGCTTTGATGGGCAGCCGAATGGTGGCGGACTCGCCCTCGTGGGACACAGTGATGGAGGCGCCATCCGCAGAGAGCCGGGCCTTGGTTTCTCGCGTGTGCACAGTGCGGAGCGAGGCGAAGAGCGTTACGGTCCGGATGTTGAGTAGCAGCTCGGCGTAGAGAGCGATGGACGGTTCGTTCAGATGAAGGTCGCTGGCAGGTGTTAGTTTGGCCTGAAGGACGTCCAGAGATGCGCTGGAGGCAGGCTTTGGTGCGGCCAGCTTAGTCTTCATCAGGGCGTCCACTGTGTCGGAGGGAAGATCAAGCGCTTCGTAGGCGGACGCAGGGAGCGTCGAAGGAGGCATTGCGGGTTGCAAGCCATATTGAAGCAGACAATATTTAAGCTCGAGGGTGACATGTGTAGATCGATGCAAGTGAAGACGCTCACCCACCACACCCTTGGCGCACGCTTGTCGGGATCATTGCAGGGGTCAGAACGATGGGGGAAGCTTGGCCATTGCAAGGAATTGCTTGGAAATACTTCTGGCCCAATTGCAACCCTTCAGTGCGACTAAAACAACATCCAGCATGTCTTCTGCACAAGCTCCTGCTCCCTCTCTGGGTAAGCTTCTCATCACCGGCGGCTGCGGTTTCCTGGGCCACCACATTGTCAACCTCGTCGTGGAACGCCATCCCAGTACGCGCATCCACGTCCTCGATCTCCACACAAATAGCAACCGCAATCCCAGCTCTATTGTCTCCTACCACAATGGAGATATCACCGATGCAGCAGCCCTGGGGTCGCTTGTCTCGCGCATCAAGCCAGATGCTATCATCCACACGGCGAGCCCCCACTTCAATGCGAAGAATGACATACATTATAGGGTTAATGTTGACGGGACTAAGAATCTTCTCAAGGCGGCGCAGGACGCCGGAGTCAAGGCTTTCGTGTACACAAGCTCCGCGAGTGTGATATTGGACCACAAAACAGAGCTGGTCAACGCCGACGAGACGTGGCCGTTAGTCGCGGGTGATGCGCAGCCCGAGTACTACACCACAACCAAGGTTAGCAAACCTCCATACCATCCCCCAGCACTACATGCACTGAATCATTGTATGTAGGCATACGCTGAAACCGCTGTCCTCTCAGCAAACCGCAGCCCCGCCAACTTCCTGACCAGTGCTATCCGGCCTGCTGGCATCTTCGGTGAAGGCGATGTCCAACTCCTCCCAAAAATGGTCACCGCTTTCCGCAAAAACCAGAGCAAGTTCCAGGTCGGCGCAAACGATAATCTCTTCGACTTCACGTACGTTAAAAACGTTGCCCACGGCCATTTGTTGGCCGTCCAAGCGCTCCTGCACACGCACAGAATGCTGCCAACCATCCCCCTCGACACAGAGAAAGTCGATGGCGAGGCCTTCTTTATTACAAATGGTCAACCCGTATACTTCTGGGACTTTGCGCGCGCGGTTTGGCATGAGGCTGGCGACAGGCTGCCTTTGTCATCAGTATGGCATCTCGGACAAGACTTCGCGTTTCTGATAGGAGGGACGCTGGAGTGGATATTCTGGTGCTTGGGAAAGACTCCGAATCTGACCCGGCAGCAAGTCAAGTATAGTACCATGACGAAGTATCACTCGATTGAGAAGGCAAGGAGGAGGTTGGGGTATAGCCCGATAGTTGATCTAGATGACGGCGTGAGGAGAGGCGTGCAGTTTATCTTGGAAGAGGAGAAGCGAGCGCAACAGAAGAAGGGACAGTGATGCAGTAGCAGGCTCGAGTGTTTGGCAGATTTGCTTGAGGATCGTCCGAGATGCCGAGCATTCATGTGCATCTGGAGGTATTAACTCTGTAAATACTGTTGGGTTGTTAATCGTCATATATCCAGTGGTATGCCCCACATTCGCTCTCCGCACTGCAACTGCTCGCATCCACTCACTTTTAGGACAACGAAGCAGTACTTTCATTAAAATCATGTATGAATCGACTATCTAACTCCCCATGTCCCAATCCCAAATGCCCATTTTCATACCCAGCGCCATGCTACGTAGAAGGATCATCAGGGATACCGTATCTCTTGAAATCGAGAGGATGAAAGGGCAAGCCGTTAACTCCCAAAATGTGCATGTAGCCTTGGACTTATCCCCCGAAATGGGTGCCAGAGATCCGGGTATCAAATTCCTCTTTCTATCATTCTTTAAGAAAGCCGTAGCTTCGTCGCAATTAATATGGAGTGAAGAAGACGACGCGAGTAGCCCCTAGAGCGTCGCTTAGAAACTACCGGATCGTTAGTTACTCTATTTTACTTAGTTGTGTCGGTAGGCTTTGGGCGAGATACTCACTCGGTGCTATCCTGGACCGACCTCCTCAGCTTGCGGTTGTAGATCTTCTTGTCCTCAGGGGTACCCCAGAAGAGCTTGGCTGCCTCTGGGTTCACCAAAGTTCGAGGATCGTAAGCCGGCGACTCCTCTTCGATGGCCTCAATGATAGCCTCGACGTGAGATCGGAGATCTTCTTTTCGCGTCGCATCGTAGCATAGAATGCCGTTCGGGGAAACGCGGTGGTGGAAGATCGGGGTCTCGAACTTGATACGCGGTAGGACATCAGGGAACTTTGGACTCAGATAGATCAAGATCCGGAACACGCCGCCATCAAGGTTCGTCATAGGCCTTCCGAAGAGGACTAGCTGCCAGACGAAGGGGTTCTTGTCGACAAGCTCTAGGTCTAGGGTAATTGCATCGTTCTTCTTGTAATTCTCAACGATCTGCTCGAACTGCCGTTGAAGGTTGCTCGCGATGCTCATTTCTTTCTGAACCGCTGTACATCCCTCAGTAGCCCACGAAAGTGCCTCTTCAGTCAACTTATCATATATCGTTTGCAAACGTTTCTTGAGTGACGAGTAGTCGAATGTTCCTTCCATGATGTTGCCGGGACCCTCAAATGGCATCTTCTCAAAACGATCACCATCCTTGTGCTTCTTTGCTTCCTTATTGATGCTGATCATGTAAGATTCGTAATACCAGAGAAATCGCCGTTTGCACAGATCTTTGAACGGTTCAAATGGCGCTTCCGCTGCGTTGGACTGGTAGTCTTCTTCGGCATTGTAGACGGTTACCCCTGGTACTTTTCCCCGATCGATGCCAAGGTAGTCTTCGAGCCGCTCGATCACCGATATTCTTAGGGTTTCATGCCGAATCTGCCCATAATTAGAATCAGACGGATCCAATACTGGAATGGACTTGCCTTAGCAACGTATGCCTCCTGATTCTTCTTGTCGTAGTCAGATTTGGCATCTTCGAATCCTGGTTCGTTCTCGTACGGATTCTGGGACATCAAACTCTGGATGGAGATAAGGATAGACTCGAGGCCTTGGGCAGATGACCATTCTTCGCCTCGTTCGCCTCTCCAGGTGCTGCAGCAATGGTTGTCAGGCACAGCTCTAGTGAGTAAATTTGTCAAACATACCCAAGAATTGATCTGTATGCGCACCGTCAGTATAATCCGTAGGAACAAAACCAACAACAGGGTTCGGGATACTGACAAGCACACCCTGCCTCCCGCATAGATGTTCGGATTGAACCTCGTCCGTCCGCTGTTTGTTGTGATTGCAGTTACTGCTGGTGCTTTGGTAGGGTATTCTGCCACCTGTCAACATGCCATGTTGGGAAGTTCGTTCCGGGGACTGACCTCGGGTGAATTTGACGGAGAACTATTTGCAGACATCAGTGTACGACGCTCGACTTGGGTTAGCCTGACACTCACTTCGAAGTAGCCAAACTCATAGGGGGTGTCTGGAGGTCCTATGATGAGGGCCCTGACATGGCGTACGTCGATGTCGCGGCAGGCTACGGCGAGTGCTATACGAGGAGGTCAGGACACCAAGACGGCCAGATATAGGAATAGCCATGTAAAGCGGGCGGATTCGTACAGAGATCAGATCCCCTCTGGATCTCACTCAGCTCCTAGGCATCCATATCAGTTCAAAATCTCGTGTTGAACACGTCAACTGGGTACGTACGCGAGTGATGCGGAGGATAGACTGGTTGGACATGAGGCGGGGTTGCGGTGGGAAAGGTGCAAAAGAGCAGGGTGGAAAGGGCAATAAGTACAGGGCAAGCGAGACCGTGCAGATAGAGGCGGCGACAGGCTGCTGTCGGTCTGAATGGTTGTGCGAGGTGGCCGCCCAGTGAATGGGGTGAGTTACAGCCTGGTGTACTAGGTGAAGTACCTCAACCAAGGCCTAGGCCTGGAAGGGTTGGTGAGGGCAGAACCAAGGCGGTGAGGTCCAACACCACGGTCCCGTGCGCCAGCAATCGTCATTTTCATCAGACTACTTACGCAACTTCTTGACCGCTTTGACGAGCACTATACAATATGCCGCGTCGGGTGTACTGCTAGCTGTCATCTCTCGCCTGTGCCCACACCCATCAGTCGAACCCCCTCTACCAACCGTCAACATGTGAGTTCAATTGCTCCGGCCCCCCCCCACGTTGCGCAAGCTTAGTGGTTTCAGGGTTGTGTTTGCGCTCTTCATCATCAGCAAAGCTGGTGGACTCATATACAACCGCGAGTTCCATTCTGGCCTGAGTAAGCTCACAAGCAACGATTATCTAATGCTGGCGGGTTCCTTTCACGGGTACGCTTCCCTGCCCACAGTTTCACTCTTTCGTCTAATGTGCACTTCTCAGAATGCACGCCATCACTAAGCAGCTCTGTCCTGCCATGCCAGCACCTGTCAATCCCTCCAGTACTGCTGCCGTCCTTGCCCCTTCCCCATTCTCCGGACGACCTAGCGGTCTCGAGGTGCTCGAATCCACCCATTTCCGCATGCAATGCTTTCAGACTCTCACCGGAACCAAGTTCCTGCTGTTCACCGAGCCTCAGCAACCGAACATTGACAGTATGATGCGCAAGATCTACGAACTCTATGCGGACTTCGTCATGAAAAATCCGTTCTATACCGTTGAGATGCCGATTCGGTGTGAGAAGTTTGATCGTGGCTTGGACGGCTTTGTGAAGGTGCGGAGTTGAAGAGCAAATATTGATGATGACTACACCCGTACCAGTCTGGATGGATGCAATTTGATACTGTGTGTCATTATCAGCATCTAGCTACCTCGATCACACTGTCCCTCCTGTCTATGTCACCAGAACGCCTTCAATCTGGCTTCTTCCATCCGAAAATGACTCCTCCAGTCCAGGACTCTTGATCGGGAGCCTCTCTCCAGTCTGCCCATCCTTTTGATGGATCTTCCCCAACCTGTCTGCATCTATGCAGGAAGGGAAGAACACTGAATCTGGCTTTGAGGAGGGACTCTAGCGTTTGAAAGGGGGGGGAAGTGAAAGGGAACCCGGCTCGGGGTTGAAAGCGTGTGGGAGTCAAGTAACCCATGTTTACACTCTGCATTCTTGCTAGCTAGGGATGATGCTGTTACCTTGAATCGCTTGAATTTCAAAAAAGCAGTCATGTGCATTCATTGAAGTCTGTACATAATAATCAGCCAAGCTTAATACAATGCTGCAATGTTGCACATGTGAACGATGCTCTTTGTGTGCTTGTGCTAGCTTCATCGAATGATGGCACTGTGATGCAACTGTTGAGATGAGAGCAATGTAAAGCTGGAATGGATGAGGTATGACAAGAAGAACCCCCTGAGTCCGTGAGATACGTTGCCCGACGGCGAAGTGCATCACTATCATACACCAAAGACGCCCGAAGTGCTTCTATGATTCGGTTGTGACCATAGCCCAAGAAATTGCATGACACCATTTATGCAGTATCCATCTCGTCCGGATCACCGTCCTTATCCTTGTTCTTGCTTCCGCTAGGCTGGCCGTCTTCGTCCAATAGCGGTTGCTTCTCGTCACCCTCTGCAATCTGCCCTAGATCCGACTTGCCCTCTGCAGCGTCCTTTGCCTTTTTCTCTTTCTCTTGTCTTGCCTTCTCCTCCTCGTAGCTCATCCGCAAAGCTAGTGCCAGCTCAGGGTCTACCGACGGGTCGACTCCGAATTCAAATGCATTTCCGCTACTCTCGCCTCCTTCGGCACGGGCGGCACTTGCGCCTGCACCTCCTGCACTACCATCGCCGCCGAGTATTGGTGTGGTAACAAGAGAGTCGCTGAGCAGATTCGAGCTGGGTTGGATTATCGCGAGATAAGATCCTTCGGCGCTCTGACAGTTCTCGCTGAAGGCTTGAAGCTTCTTTAGGTTATCCTCACTGAGCTCGCCAAACGCAATGATGTCGATGCTTATTGTGGATTTCTTCATGCGCTTTGCCAGTTTGACTAAGGCCTTTTCGTCCTCTTCGATGGGGCTGCAGGTGAACACGACTATACGCTGCTTCTGAGACTTATTTTGACGATGCTTCAACGCTAGCTATGAACACATTAGCAATCATGGAGCTGTAAAGCATCGGCAAACAGCCATGAACATACCGCGGCCACATTAATTCCAGTCGAGAAATGGGAACTTCCTTTTATCTTAGTTCGGTGGAGTCCATCAAGTATTTTGCCAATATCAGTGGTCAAGGTGGTGAGAATCTCAGGCGTGTTGCCTCCCATGCTCATGAGGCCGACGGATGATTCCGGGTTTGCTTGGGTCTTAGCAGAGAAGATGAGGTTGATAGCATCAGCTTGAGCTTCCCAACGCGACGGGCTGTCATCGATTAGCGCTGGCCATTCGAATAGAAGGTGAGGGGGGGCATACACATAGTCTCCGTTCCGACTGCTTTCGCTGTTATCCGCCCTGTTGGTAGTCAGCATCTTGTGCAGAAGGTGAGGCCAAGCAGGAGCTTACACGATCATGGTAGCTTCCAGCACCATCTTGAAAGCTGGAGGGGGGGGGGGAATGGTATTAAGGCTGTTGTCGTGGGAAAAGGCGAGGTATTTCTGGGATGGGTGTGCTTGAGCAGCACGATTGCCGCTGCAGACAACTAGCTCCAGGCCTGGCTTGGCGGGAAGCAGGCACGGGACTTCGCGTAGTGGCTGAACTTGGCAGCCCCGTTATATCATCCGGCCAAGGCGCTAAGCAGCTGCTCAGATCAAAACCCAGGCCGATTCTGCGTCTCTCTTGCTCCTCACCAAAGCTTCACCACCCCCTCAGCAAGCACGAGCAAGCACCAGCATACTAATTGCCACCCCGTTAACAACGCTTTGAGACTTCCAAGTCACCCTGCCTCGTCCGAATACGACTTCCACACTATTCGACTTGCCTCCGACGCGTTGCTCTCGTCAACATGTCGTTCGTCCTTACTGCTGAAGCAAAAGCCACCATGCGGGCCAACCTTGAGCTCGAGTGTAAGGGCTTCCTGCTCCATGAATTAACCTCGATTAACGCAAGCCAGTGGCCGCAAGAAAGGAGAAACTGCTTGCAATGTACGATGCCCAGGTCGCCAGTCTCCGGTCGCGCTTAGAGCGTCGCGTCAATCGTATCCCGAACAATAAGCGCAACATGAAGATTATGGATCTGCTTGACCCGACTGCCTCCAAGGCCACCAGCGCCCTTTCAAAGGCACCAGCTATCAATTCCAAGCGTACTCGCCCGGTTGCACGTCCTGCTCCTACCCGCACTGCTGCTGCTCCTTCTGCTCCTGCGTCTCTACCACCGGGTTTGCCACCTCAGCAAGTCCTACCACGCCAGCAAGCCGAGTCGCGTCAGCAAACAGAGCCACGCCCACAAACCCAGTCGCGTCAACAAATCCATCCACAACAAATCCAGCCCTCGCAGCCGACACAGTCCCGAAAGCAGGCACCAATCCGCGGCGTGAAGAGATCAAGCAATGAAATGGCTTCGGACAAGGAGAATATGGCAGACCACCAACTTTCCATCCCTAAAAAGAGAGCCAGGGCCGCAGCACCGCGGAATGTACCTGTTCCTCGCAACCCCCGTGTTGCTGCCGCAGACCCAGCTCCCGTCCGCACCACTCGCGCAGCTTCGCGCAAGCTTGCTGCGCCTGAAGTCTTGTCGCCAAAATCTAGCAATGCGCGCGCCAACTCGCGCACCATTGCGCAAACTCGCGCTCGCCGCCCACGGTGAAGTGCTTGACTGATTTTAGGGACTCGGCGTTTAGAATAACGATTAATGACCGATTCTGAGTACTGGATGTTTTGGATCACGGGTTATGACGGAAACCCAGGGGAGGGAGTTCATAAACCATTGGACACTCTGCTGGTTTACATGGCGTTCCAGGAGCATCACTTTGAAGCTTGGTTGTAAGTAGGTTCAGACGCTGTTTATAGCCCACCCCAGATATTCCCCACAGTGAGGTTGAGATACTGGGATAGGCTACTAACAGACCTCGTACTGACAATGCTCGTCTATCGCGAAACATCTCTTTTAAACATGTTATCCCTAAAGTTTTGTAATGTGTTGGAACTTATAATGCAACGGCGACAGCAGGAAAATTGCACTTACCTCTTGCCAGGACTGGGGAAGGCGCAATGAAGATGCCCATCACTGTTCTAAATAACACTCCGTTGTGCGGTATTGTTGAGAATAGATGTTATGTAGCAATGGTGTGTGAGTGAACACTGCACAATATCAACACAGGAGTGAAGATCTCACAAACTACTTACTAAAATTTTGGAGTATATTTTTTCATGGGTATGGTTCTCTCCTAATATTTATAACTTGGTTCCACTTTTGCGGAGGGAGTTAGCATTATCTGAGGATCACGCGTTAAACTATACTACGCTATGTTAACTGTGCAGGCTAGATCTAGAAATATTCCTGATAAGGATCCAGCGGAGACTTTTGAGGAAAGGGTTCCCGTCCTGAATTAGATGATATCACATTGCGGAAGGAGTGAATGCCCCGACTAAGATTTAGTTGAATGCCGGTTGCAGTCACGGTTCTACACTCTTGAAAATCACGGAGTATGATTCGGGTGATATAATTCTCCTAAACTCCTTGCCAGACTAAAGCCGTCAGCGAATGGGATGCCTTTCCAGTCTCTGTTCCACACAGGCACAGACTTTGATATCTGTCCTTCTCCAGCACGACGGAAAGTTGAAACTCATACTAGCTTGCATGTGGCAGCGACTCCTCCACGTCGTATCAGCAACACACTGGATAGCCACTTGGGCGATGGGGCTCTCTTTGACTCTCCGCTGGATTTCGGGTAACAACTCACAGGATGCTTGTGGTACCAGTTCCACACACACTCCCCCGGATTAGGTTGTTCAACAATGCGAAGCTTGATTATCAGGGTGTCCGGACTCACTTAAACCTCTCCATATGTTCAAAGTGCCAGCCAATAGGATGCCAGTCCCTCTCCCTGTTTCACACGACCACAGTCGCCCTTCAGTGTCTTGTTCCCCAGCCCTTGCAATGTCTCTCCAAGCGTCCCGCACTGGCCCCCCTTCTCCGGAACAACGGCAGGAAGGACTGGGACTTAAAACCAAACCCAATGGCCAGTCTGGGGGCCAAGTTTTGGCCCCACGGATCCGGTGAGGGCTTGTTGCACTCGCCACTCGCGCAACGTCCAACTCACAGCCTCAGGCAAGCCACCACCGGCATCAACCCCCTGCCTCGACGGACCAATTGATGCGCCGTCCTGACAGTCGTCTGCAGCGGTTCCTGCTCTTTGGGTTCACCGGTCAATTCGGTCGAAGTGGTCGAATGGAGTGGGGGACCATATGGACAAGTAATGCACTTTTCTGTAACGACCGCAGGAGTACTGACCGCTGGTCGAGGTCCATTTTGGGTGGTGCGGCACGGGCTTGGGTGGTGAACAGGCGGGCCTCGTCATCTCCAAACCTACGACACACCTCACACAATTTTCCTCTCACGGCGAATAGAGCAAGGGAACTGACGGCCTCCTGGCGTTCTTCTCGTACGGTCGATCCATCAGTTGCGTCAGAAACGGCCATGTTATTGTGCGCTGCAGCGAATAATTGCACTGCTCGTATTGCGCAGACGCGGATTATTGAGCGATGGGGCTTAGCTTCCAGGCAACCGCCAAGAAGGGTTGCAGACGACTCATCAACAGCCTTCCTCCTTCCAGCTCCATTGCTTCTCCGTCGTCCCCATTCCTTCTCGACATATCCAACCCTCCGTTCCTCGTCCTGTCGTCAGCCTCTGTCCTCAGGCCTCGTCACCCCATCTTTTGCACTTTACCCGCCCTTGTTTAGCTGCACCTGGACCCTTTCCCGCGTTCTCAAGTCGGACTGCGCCGCCCTCTTATACCTTTACCTCCCCAGGGCTGCACCACCGTGCTTCCTACCCGCGCCCTTTCTGTTTGTCTGCTCCAGGCTTCAAATTCACCTGTTGTTTTCCCATCTCGACGGCTTCCATCCCGTTGGCACACCATTCACCCCTCTCGATGCGACATTGACCTTCTAGCCTGCCGCATCATATCCTCCCCAGAGAGGGGTTTTGGCAGCGTAGTCCTCCTGCAATAGGTCACCGGCCATCTACTTCGGTCACTTCTCTCGGAAGGCTGTGCATCTATTTCTCCCGGAGCGATATCTCTGACTCCCGGCGTCGGTTCCTCATCCGACCATCACGCTTAAACTGGTCAACTTAGCACCGCTTCCCCAGTGAGTCATAGACCTGGAAGCACCCCAAGCTGGAGCAGCGAGCTGATTGTTGCACTCTCATGCAGGAGCAATTCTTCTTCAGTCCAGTCACACTCAACATGTCGGGCACAAGGACTCACCCCCGCCGCTCTCCTCTTAAGGTGATCGACCCCCAGGGTACTCCACTCAGCACCCACAGCATGCGACTGCGCAAGTGTGGTACCTTCTCGTCACCGAAGTCTATCCCATCTGACCTCTGCGACCTGGAGAACCGTCATCATATGCCACGACGTTCTCCCACAAGCACTGAGAGCCTTCAAGAACTGCTCCATGACTGCCCGCCGCCTCATGTTGCACACTTCTTAAAGGATATTGAGAAGAAACTGGCTGGAAGCAAGTCGGCCAGCATCTTGAACGATCCTGAGGTGCTTCCTCTACCAAGCTTCCTCCTCGACAACACAAGCCTTGACACTACGCCTATGGACATTGACCGCAAGCCATCTACCGCAGAACGAAGCCTCCACGATCACGCTTCAGATAGCGGTCTTGGCTCCAGCGTCAGTGGGTCAAAATACGGTAAGGCTTCTTTGCTCTTACCCCTCATGGAGGCACAGCCCTCTGACATATATAAAGGCGACTATCGCTCCCTTCGGTCGAGTGCTGGTGGATCCATTTCCACCTCTGTTACCTCGACACACTCGGCCATCACTCGCTCCTTCTCGGCACTTGACGCATCGGAGGATAAGCATACATTGGGTGAGTATGCTTGTAAACAAATCCACGACCACATCATCAAGCCTATCCTCGCCGAGGAATCACTGAAGGACTTTCATCCCTTGATCGAGGACGTTCCCCGTCGCATTGGGGATAAGAATATCTCGAACCTCCGAGACCTTGAGAAGACTCTGATTTTCCTAGCACCGGTAAGTGGAATCCGTCCTTCTTCTGAGATTGCAAAAGCTCATTGCATTCTCCGTGGCGTAAAGGAGTTCTCGGCGACACCGACTTCGTATCTTCGCTTCTGTGAGCGATCGATCCAACTTTTGATCACGACTGTCGACTGCCTTCCGGAGCAAGATCAACGCTTACCGTCCGACCGCCCTTATACTAACAACTACTTTCTCGATTTAATCGAACAGATCCGTCGCTACGCAGCAATTATGGCCGCCACACGACAAAAAGAGGCGAATGGGGAAGAACTTGACGACATGGATTATTCACCGTATGGCTCCCTTAACCTTTCTGAAGTTATGCCTGATCTAACACTTTCCAGTGAAGAGAAGATCACCCTCCGTGGGGGGTTGAGTCACAATGGCCGTCCCGCCGAGCTTGTCCGCCACAAGAATGGCAAGGTCATTCCCATCAACGAAGGCAGTCCTTCCAAGGATTCCTACCGTGGATTCCCATCAACGAAGCGTGCCTTGTCTGATGATGAGATGGACGATGAAGATGTCACTCGTTCCATGGCTCGACGACGAAAATCTGATAAGCCCGGGGATGTCATGCACGTCTGCCGTGATTGCAAGAAGGAATTCAAGAGGCCGTGTGATCTCACTAAACACGAGAAGACTCATTCGCGACCCTGGAAATGTACGGAGGAGAAGTGCAAATACTATGATCTCGGCTGGCCAACCGAGAAGGAACGCGACAGACATGTGAATGATAAGCATTCATCTGCACCTCCTCAGTATAAGTGCCGGTACCCGCCTTGCACTTATGCGTCGAAACGAGAATCCAATTGCAAGCAGCATATGGAGAAAGCCCACGGATGGGAATACGTTCGCTCAAAGAGCAACGGACGAAAGAAGGCCACCATTGCCGGAAGTGAACGCAGCCCTCCTACCCCCCTCACCCCGTTCTTGGGTACGCCTACATCAGCTTTGGCGACTCCCATGACTCCATTTGCGCCTTCTCCTGCGTTGCCGCTGACTGATTTCGACTATTCGTATGGCTTTGGCACCCCTGCTTTGAGCGCCAATGGTTTTCATGAGGATGACTACCGAAGAGATTCTGTAACAACAGACGGGTCGGTTCTTACATACTCTTCTGGGCACTCACCCACGGAGCCGACTTCTTTTGACGATGCCGTCACTCCTGAAGATGCAGTCATTAACCACAACGATGTCTTCAATTGCGGGATCCCCGGTAATTTTAATACTGGTTTTCAGCAGCCAACTCCTGCCATGAGCACTGGCTTCGACAATTTTGAGTCCATTGACTTTACCCGTCCATTCACTGTCAATACTTCTGTTCCTCATGGCCTTCCACACCTTTCTCCTGGTGCTCAGCCTGATGTGACTCTTTTCTCTCCTCAGATGCACCTGGATGAAGGCTTTGATGATGGGATGACCAACTTTAGTCCGCCTACCGGAGACTTCACTTTGTTCGATGCTGCTCAAGGGAACGGCATGGGACTGAACACAACCGCCGACTTTTTCCCGGAGCTGAATCAGTTTGGAGGCCAATTTGACAACAGCCTCTACGCTGAGCCATCTCTGTCGAACGCTTTTGACGATATGATGAGCGGCTTCGATAATGGGCAGTAATGGGATACAGGATATCCCACTCGTTGAACTGTTAATTGAGCGATCTGTTTGTTTACTGTTTATCCCTTTTGATACGGCAACGGCCTTTATATGATTTTGAGGATTTGGGCGTCGAAGTGAAGCAGAATGCAAGTCTGATTATCGTCCATATGGTAGTGGCACAGGTATTTGCTATATGGAACGTTCAAACAGAAAACCCAAAAACAATTGGCCTTGATTCTTATGGGTCGGACTGATTTTTGTACCTCCCCCCCTTCTCTTTCCTTTAATTGTGGAGGGCAGGGTTGAGATGGTTCAGGAGTGTAAACTAGAAGCGGGAGTATGTGGAGGGAAGCACCTCGCTCAAGTCTTGTATTTGCATGGCTCTGCAATGGATAAATGATCGGAAACATGAAATACAGAACTTGCAAATGTGTGATTTCTCATTGATGCGTGCCCACCTGTAACCTCATGTGACCTCCATTGATCAATTTATGGCCTGGCGCTTAGGCCAATTCCGGAGCTCGTATCGCACGGGCGTTTCAAGACCTCTCTTCCCCCTCGCGATGCGGCCCTCTTCAACCTCTCCACCTTCTGTGTCGAGGCGGAGCCTGTCATTCCCTTGATTGTCTTCCTGGACTTTCTTGTCACTCTTTCCAACAGCCTTTGGTCCTCAGTGGCCACCACTGTCCTTACACATCTCGAATAGGCCGCGCCGGTCGCGTTCCTAGACTTCGAGATTGCCCTCAATATCACTCCCAGTCATTATTCCAATTAGGCCTGTTGTTTCCATCCAACATCATGTTAGGCTTTCATAGGCGCACCAGATCTCTGATACCCGTCAAGGAATTGGCGAAGTATGACAAAGTTGAATTGAGCGAAGAGCCTGAACAGGATACGAGGGAAGATGATCAGGAACTTGTCTCAGTGCCGGAGACGACAACAAAGGCTCGACAGAGGCAGTTGACTCTAGTCTATGTGATATTCCTTGCCGAAGCGTACGTGTGGCACATGTCTTTTGTCTCAGAGTCACGCTAACCCTCAGCCGCTTACTCCAGCATCATGGCCTCGAGCCTCCAACCGCAACTGCAGATGCTCATTTCGAACGACGATTACTGCGGAAATCTATCTACGTCCTACCTTCGTAGCATCTTGGATTGCGCATATGCATTTGGTGGTACGAGTGGTATTTTCTGGGGATATCTCTCTGACCGCATTGGACGCCGTCGTGTGTCTCTGCTAGGGTTGTGGACCATGTGCGTTTGCTGTCTGAGCATGGGATTTGCCACGGACCTTATGAGCTGCACGATCTTCCGATTCGTCGCCGGCTTAGCTAGTTCAACCATCGCGGTGACGACTCTTACGATGATAGGCGACCTCAGCACCAATGCATCTGGAAGAGCGAAGAACGTAGCCCGGCTTCCTCTCATTGCCCTATGCGGCTCCATCGGGCCTATCGTGCAAGGACTGGTCTCAGAAAGCACCAATGCCTCGACCGTAGTCTGGCAGAAGTTCCCAATCCTGAGCTCGCAGATTGCTTGTGGGACTATTCTGCTCATAATCGCTGTTGCGGCATCAATTATGCTTCAAGAGGTAGGGATCTCATTCTTAGAAATCCATCCGCATAATTTCCTCTTTCCTACTCTCAAATCTTTTAACCATCGTCATTATCCCACAGCAGGCTCCTGCTCAGGTTAGCCAGCGCATGACATGGCAGGCCCCTCCTTAAATCCGCGGCATTGTGTACTAATATCTGACAGACATTGCCTCTACAATCCGACCAGCGAGCAAGTGGATCAAACTACGACTGTGAAAAAGCGCCCTTCCTCTCTGATGCCGAATCGAATGAACCGCTCATTCGTGTAGTGGACTCTGTCCGGCCCGACTGTATCTCTATTAGCCAATTCCTGCAAGCGCCCTCTCTTTTAATCTTGCTCTCTTCCTTCTCTCTCCTCTCCCTCCATGCGTCCACCTTCGATGCTTTACTTCCCCACCTCGGCCACAGCAGCACCCAGCATGGCGGCATGGGCATTCCTTGCAATTGGCTGGGTCTTACTGTCCTCGTTGTTCGTGGTGTTGCTGGCCTGGCCATACTCCGCGCTGTTCCTCATCTAATCAAGAAGTATGGCCTGTTGAAGCTATACCGTTCCGTTTCTCTCCTATTTCCGGCCATATATGTTGCGACACCTCTCCTTGCCTTGGTTGCGGCCTGCTCTACCCTCCTTGCTGCACTCACATCAACGACGGCTATCCTGGCCAAACATGTCCTCACGGGAGGAGCATCGGTTCTTGTTTCTCTTCTCGTGCTCAACACGACTCCCGATGCCTTCTCAGCTGGCACGGTGGTCGGGATGATGCAGGCTGCGAGCCTGTTCAAGGCCTTGGCCGTAGCTGTTAGCGGGGCCAGCTTCTATCTAAGCGGCGACTTCAGCGTGGCAACGACGAACTACGCTCTGTGGACCTGCCTTACTCTATTCGGTTTTGTTGGAGCGGGTTTGGCATGGTTTGTCAGGGAACGACCCAGCGTGGACCGAGATTTCCCCAGCGAGGTGCTCTGTTGGGAGACGTGCTTTGATGCGGAGAAGAACCCCGAAGGCTAGGGGCGGGGGGTCTCTCCACGGTGGTACTTCTCAAGGACACACCGTGCCCTAAAGGGACACCTGAGCTTCCTCGGCCCGAATTTCACATCAATAGTGAAGATGGAGGGAGCGGGTTTTCATTGCGGGCTGTGTTGGTATGTAATGATGGTTTTGCGGAGTTGTTCACATTAGTACCCACACTCATTTTGAAGTTTCTCTGTTTGGCTCTCGATGTTGTTTACGTTCTGGCACGTGTCAAAGGCTCTGAGTGGTCGCTGGCTCACGGCGGGATACGAGCTTGGCATCTTTTTGTTTGCATCTGAAACGCGACTAACTGCCGCCTGTTGTTGTGAAGCACACCGCACTCTGGCGGGCTTGGGCGGTCTCTGTCGCGGGTTGTAGATAGCTGGACGGCGGGTTGGGGGTTTTGAACGTGTAGTGATGAATATATTCGAGCTTAACTATGTGTCTTTGCCTTATGAAGCGGGAAGCGTCGCAGGCGCGTCACTGCATGCCACAGTGGATGTGGCGTCGTTGGCAGGTCAGCGACTCAGCGGGTGGCAGCGGGTCGTCTTCACTTAATCAGGGACGAGGTTCCCCTGCATAGGCCGGCTGCAATTCATCCTGCTGGCCGTAGTGCTGCTCCTCCTGGCCTGTCCATTTTTTGCGCTGGCTGCGACTCCTTTCTCCCTAGGTTCCCCGGCACCGCGCCTTCACTTCATAACACTCCTTCCCTCACCCTCGGGTTGTTTACAGTTGGACTTCGCGCAGACTCCCCACATCACGACTCGCACCCCACCACCACCACCCTCGCCCCCCAGTATCTATTCGACACGCACAGTTAGACTCCAGCACACTTACCGACCATCCAGCTACTCCCCGCCTGCGCGTCCGCAATGTCGCTCAGCGCAAAGTACCAAGCCTTTCTGGGTAGCCCGTCATCCGCCGCGCTCTCCGACAACGCGTCCCTCCACTACATCACGACCCTGACCAGCCTCAACGAGCCCGCCGCCATTCTCAAGCACCTCGCGGTGCAGGACAAGCTCCTCAAGAAGAAGGCCGAGAAGGTGATAGGGGCCGTGGAGAGCGCCAATGGACTGTGTCTAGACGTGGAGACGACTATCGAATTCATCTCGGGCGGTGGCGCCTTCCTGCCCGGGCTCGACGACAACTTCGTTGCCGACAGGATCGTGACGTTCCCCATGGTGAGCTGGCTGTGTGATGTCCTCGCTCGCTCACGCTAATTCGAGGCAGGTTCACATCGTGCACTTCGATAAGAACAAGGACATTGCGCAAATCCGCCTTTATTGGGACCAGGGCTCGCTGTTGAAACAGATCGATGTCATCGGTGCGCGCGCTCGCAACTGGCCCATTCGAGATGGGAGGGATCAATCGCGCCTTATTGCTTCGAGCTCAGCCCTGGTCGCACAGCCTGAGTCTGCTGCATCGTCCCGACGCTCGACCACTTCCCGGGGCGGCGCAGACGAGGTTGTTGTGACGGAGCGCCCCGCGAGCTCGAGGAGCACCGTTAGCAACGCCATGAACGATCCCCACGCTACGCTGTCTCTATTCCAGCCTCGCGATACCAACCAGGATCGCACCTATGCCCGCCCCTCTGCAGCTCGGGCCCAATCAGCGAAGCCTCCTCCACGTGACTACTCGGAGCTGTTTGCCGGGGAAGAGCCAGAGTCACCCTCCCCAGTGGGTACCGCTCCTTCCCCGCAGAAGGCAGCGCGCATCCCAGTCAAATCAGGTGGCGGCACAAATTTCAAGCCCAACCGCCTGTTTGGGGAGACTGAAGAGGAGAAGGCTATGCCGACGCCAATGAGCGTCAAGACCAATTCTAAGAAATATGACCACTTTAACTTCGGGGATGACGAGGATGAACAAGCAACGCCCAAAGTGCGCGAGACGGCACGCCAGAAGCACAAGTCCAAGCACATGTCACAGTGGGACTTCGAAGACTTCGTCACCCCCGAGAAGACGAACCTGAAAATCCTGGCACAGGCCGTTCGACACTTTGGGTGGAGCGACGATGAGGTTAGTCCCCACGTTCAGATTGAGGATCTCACTTTACTCCCCCCCTCTGCCTTTCCCCCCCCCCCATAATTGCTAACTTTCCTTGTCCTACAGGCTGATACGTCTCCTGTTCGTCGTCCAATAGTCCACAAAGCGCGTCCGGATGCGGACCCTCATTTCGAGTTTGTTGACGACGGCGCCCCAACGGAACCCCGCAAGGAAAACACTTCTAAAGGTCGTCTTCACAACAACGGTCTTGGCCTCTACAAGGATCATGTTCTACACTCCACCTCGGACGACGAGGGCGAAGATGCTCACAAGGGTGACAACAAACGTCCTCTGGGGGATGTGACCACCACCATCAAGAACGAGAACCGCAAGAAAGACTTTGGTAGCCAGTGGGAGATGACCGATCACAGCCCGGGACCGCAGAAGACGACTTTCAATGGAAACGGGAATGGCAATGTCAAACATGTTCCCGAGGATCGCAAGAAAGTACTCCAGGGCCTTAATGCCCATTGGGGCTTATACGAAGATTCACCAGAGCAATCGAAAAAGGAAAACGTGAACACATCGACTGTTGGCGTCAAGACCACCGGAAACGGCATGGGGGGCCGCAAAGACGACGGTCGCCATTGGGCCATTGGCGATGAAGGCGATGATTATGTCGCAATACCTCCCAAAGCTCCGGGAAACCGGCCGCAAGAATCCAAGGGATTCTGGGACTTCTAGGCGGTTATACAAGATGCGACACTACACTTGACATAATCTGGACACTGGCTGATCCTGTTGGGATGACGGCATGTTGACAAACGATCGCACGGCCTTAACGAGCTTATGCTTATAATGACTGGGGCGGACGGCGTAACTACGACTATCCCAGATACAACGGTCTTTCTTTGGGATCTCCTACTTCCATTTGTATTCCTCTTTTTGTTTCCCATTGATGTTTTCTTCGCAATGTTGCATGCACAGCACAGTGCAGCGAACAACACAATCTGATGTGATTGGTTACGATATCCAGTGGTTTTGCTTGGCAAATTGTCCCGTTTTGGAGCTGTTCGCAGCTGCATTCAGTATGACCCAAATCTTGATGCGGGGATTTGGGCCTGGCTGGATGTGTTGGATGCCTCTGGCATTTGAAAGAGGCTATTACAGATGCAGCACCTTGCTTGCTCTGGGACTGAGGCTGAGCGCACGATTCTTCTATAACTGAAAATAATTATTCTCCGTGCGTTGGCACCAAAGTAACGTACCTTTTGTAAACTCATTCCTGTCTGCCTGTGTGCTGTAGCTGTCTTCTACGGCTCTACCAGAAAGGCGGCAGGTGGTTTGCTTCCGCAGAATCGTCTTTGCGTTATAGGATAGAAATCAATCGCGTGAACGTTATTTTCCCCATGGATCGATGTCTCGGCTCTTCACGAAAATCTCTCTTGTCCCGAGTTAATTCTCGCCAATGTCATCTCTATAAATGAATGACATATATGTCTTAGCACAGACCCTTCCCCCGGCTTCTCGACCGTTCTGAGACTGTTATGCTCGCCATTTCCCGCAGTTCCGCATGATGTGATGGCTGTCCGAGATCTGAATCTGAAAATCTAGGCTGGACGGCGAGATCGGAGAGATAAGGCCAGGCCGCGGGAACGGGGACGGGGAAGGGGGAAGGTTGCCGGATGGTGGTTGGGGTCGTCGGGATGCTGGCGGTATATTAGAGACAGTTGGAGGTATAATAGCTGAAGAAATAGGCGCCGGAGGCTTGATATGGTGATATTATATCATATCGGGGTTTGGAGATGAGGGTTGAGGTAGCGAAGTGATGGGGAGTGCATAATATTATATGCACACGCGTACATTTACATGCATCTTAGCATAAGTACAATACAATAATGTCTGGGATTTCAGTCCACGCCTCTCCACCTGCACCCCTCTTGAGCAGACGAGACAAGAAAGGCAAGTACGGCGGCGCTTCCAAGTAGTGGCATTCGCCTAAGCATGCCTTGCCTCCGCGTTTCACCATCCGACAGCTCCATCCACCCGTTCTGGCCCCAAAAGGGTAACTACCCTTGAACGTCAAACCTTCCAAAAAGTAAACCCCCGCCCCAGCCCTCGAGTCAGTCATCCGGGACGCTTGAGGAGCTGATGACAGGGTTCAGAAAAGCAAGCTTAACGCAACGTCAACGTCGAGCCAGATCGTCGGCCAAGAAGCAAAGAAATAGTTGGACAAAGAAACACGAAGACTAAAAAAAGGCACTGCAGGACGGAAATCTCCTGCATGGAGGTTGACTCCACATTCCACGATTTCTCACACTACGAGTTCTTCATCACCATTCCATCTTCAATCACCTCAACGAACCTTATCGTCCCGTCAAAAGAAGGTTTGACAAATAACTATTCAACCTCGAGGGTGGAGAAGCAAGCTGTGGTGGTGGGACCTCGGCATCCATTCAACTGCACGTCTCGTTCCTCTACTTCCATGTGGACCCAGACCCTCCTGACCAAACCAACAACTCGGTAACTTTCATCCACTGCCAGCCTCAGGAAGTTTCAAACTCGCACCTTCCCAAAGAAATCACTACATGGTGACCTGTCGTCCCAGGAGCGTGGAGACTGGGGGAGGAAAGTGGGTCGAGGGATCCGTGTCTGAATCATGGTCAGTGTCTCGATTCAATCAAAATGTGGAGTTGTCCGCCTCGTTTTAGACCAAGCCGAATACAAATATACTCTTTGTGGCTTTCGGCTTTTGGGACTTGGCTCCATCTAGCAACAAACGGCTAACGCACGAAACAACCCAAAGCAACAAGTGGAGAAAAGCATGACGTGCAATTAGAAAAATGTGAAGAAAACAACAACTGCTTCAAGCTATGTCTGAAACGTTCGCAGCTTTCCTTTGCGCAGAAAGGAGCGCGATCGAGTCTCAAGTCCATCCATCCATCTATGATGTTGAAGCTCCTTTGTCCTGCTAAAGGCCGAAAAAAAAATGTCTGACACTGCAAGGGTAAATAACGCCATCCCATAATAGCCCAGCCATATCCATCAAGCCACCTTTATTCCATCAAAACCCTGCCCGCTAGGATACATGAGCCGAAACATACTTTTTGAGCAGCAAGTCCTGCTCCCGATCCATTCCCATCCTGGTGAAGATACCAGGTCGAAAACTAGTTCCAAATAGAAGAGAAGCGCAGATACGATGCGTCATGCCGCCAAATCTTGCCGGAAAAAAATTCCCGTAAACCACGCTGAAGGAAAGCTCTGTGGCCGAGAGGCGACCATCGCGAGTGAGGATTCGTGCTGAAAAAATAAAGCTCAAGAGGGGTGTATAGCCAGGGCTCCTGCCCAGTTGTAACAACCACCTTGCCTTCCTCATATAACCGCAAAAACAAATGAAAAAGCGAGGGAGGGCAATGTTTCCTGCCTCAACGAAGTGTAGGTGCAACAGCATCTTCGATTCATGATGCAAAGAAATAAACGCCGTTTACGACGGGGCGCGGCTTTTGTATGAAGGCATATATGATGTGGAATGGCGGTCAAAATCCGTCGGTAGTAGGGGATACAGAAGTCGGAAATATGCTAGTGTACAGAGCTCCAGATGCGAATTATGATAGACCCCAAAGCGGCTGCTCAAGTAACGGCTTTAGCGGTGTTCATAAGGACGAGGGCCGGCAAACTCTACACCCTGCATAGCAGTAGGAGGTGGAGCCCATTGTGGAGCTTGTTGCTGTTGATGTTGCAGTGGCGGAAGGATTGTCGTCGTCGCAGCTGGAGTCTGTGCATGTTGTTGTGCTAGCATGCCTGTCATGCTTCCGTAAACGTGGGGATTTCCAGGCTCAACACGACGAAGATGTTGCCACACAGAAGCTAGCTCATTACGCAAGAGTTCATTCTCTTCTTGGGCTCTTCGACAATATTCGGCATCAGGTCGGAGTCTCGCGTTCTCAGCACGCGCAGCCTCATGGGCTCTACCTAGAGTCTTAATGTACTCAATTGCTGACGACATGTGAGCAGAGTAGACATAAGGATTGATTGCAATTCAAACTCACACTTAGTTAGAATTTCCCATTTGCTAGACTTGCTTCCAGGAGAGTTTGGTAGAATTCCATTCAATTCATCGAACAGCGATTTCATCTCGCTTCGCCGCTTTCGCTCTGCCATCTTGTGGCTAACACGGAGTTCTGGAGTCCGACTGTAGTTTCCACTACCTGGACTATTAGGGAGATCTGCACTCTGAAGGTTTGTGACGTTGCGATGCTGCATAGAGTGGTGATGCGTGGTAGGAATATCTGCCTGAAGTCAGTACTGTCTGTACGAAGATAGATAGGAATATGCATGCCGTCTTCGAATCTCTTCTGCCCTCCCGGAATATTTGAGTCGGCTGTAAAGATGCTACTGTTGATGGATGTGGCAAAGCTGTTTTGGCGCGAGGGAATTGAGCGCTCATTGCTGGACTCACCGCTGCTCGACCCTCGTCTGTCCTCGGGTTCAAGATCACCCGGGAAAGCCCAAGCATAACCTTTCGTCGGAGCAGCAGCCATGGGATCTGGCATGCCAGAGACACTCCGTGGGTTAGGGTTAATCACAGGAGCCCTCCTAGGAGGATGGTTCGCACGTAAACCGGTCCGAGGCCCCAATGGAGAGAGTGGAGTCCCACCGTTTGGTCGTTGGTCAGCGGTTGTGATGCCTCGCTGTTGCTGGAGATTTGAGACAAGGGAAACCCGAGAGGCGTTCTGGCTGTCATAAGGAGAGGACGGACTGACTGCCAAGTGAGCCATTCCTGCGTTCATCCGGCTGTCAACACTGCTGCGTCGCGAATCAAAATGCGATCCAGCCTCGAAACTCAAACGGTTGTCGAACCCCTGGTTGAGAGAGGGCAATGCATTGGCCTGCACCACATTAGCATTAAATGTGGTAGAGAGTGTGGGAATTTTCACCTGTTGTGACGGATATTTGGCCGAAGAGGGCGTGTCTGGTACCGAGTTTCGTGAGGGGGAATCTTCGGCATTCAAAATGGTCTGCAGCTGGAGACCCATAGTATTCGACACACCTGACGAGTCTGTAACAACTTATTAACTCAATATTTTCAGAGCAAGTTGGTGGGAACGGAATTCAAAGTGAATGACGAAGTCAGGGAGAGAAATTCATTGATGGTTGAAATTCAAGGTAATGAAAAAAGGGTAGAGAAGATTTTGTTGCTTACGCTTGCTTTGAGAGATGGACCAATTACCTGAGTCGCGGGCTTCGCGAGCTTCTGAGTGCTGTCTGAGGCGGACAGGGCTTTGCTCTGAAGGGGAGAGTGTGCTTGTTAAAGAAGCAATGGACGGTAGTGCTTGGGTCTGAGACACGTTGCTGGGGGCAGGTGGTCGTTGCTGGGTCATAGATTCCATGGTGCCCGACAAAAAGACAATTGCAGAGCCGTTTGCACGACGGCGCGGCCGAAACGTGAATTTCGAAGAGAAGTCGAGGCGTAGGCAAGGTGATGCAGAGTACGCCAGTGAAGGCGGCGGGCCAATGGGATGCGGGGCCGATGAATGCTGCACACACTACGGGGGGAGAATGGAGAAGCAAGAGCAGAGATAGAGCGGAAGGATGCGGAGGTCAGAGAGGAGAGAAGGGAGGGAGGAAGGGAGGAAGAAAATGAGGGCGGAGCGTGGTGAACGCGAGAATTCGAGGGGTGAATGGTCCTGGCGCACGGGATGCTGGCTACCCTTCCCAGAACGGCACTCACTTGAGGCGGGGCAAACTAAATCTCGTTCTGCCAAGGAAAGATCGATCTCTTGAGAAGGAGCAGACGACGACGTGCGCGCACCACTCCAGGAATGGGGTAGGTACAAGGGTACCTCCTTCCAGCAGGTTTGAGGCGGGCCAGGTGATGGCGCCGATGGCTGTCTTCTCTTCGGCTTGCAGCAGCACCTCTGGCCAAACGAGAGATAGCCGCGTTGCCCTCTACGCTTCCACCATGGAGCTTGGAGACAGTCGTCACAGCCAAGATGGACGTGGCTGCAGGTCTCTCCCCTCCAGGACTAAGCTACGGCGGGAGCACTCACAGGGCTGGCCGCTGCTGGTGATGGAAGGCGCACGCGTCCAGATAGCGGAATCTGGGCAGGCGTGGAGGAGTAGGCGTGGTGGGCCGGTGAGTGAGTGCTACAGATGGGCGGCGGGCGAGGCGCTGCGGCACTGCTGGTCCAGGAATCGAGGGTTGGAGGACGGGTAGCCAAAGCAGCTGCGGAGTGGCGCAATGGTCAGGTCGTACAGGAAGATGGAGGCCAAGGTGGTATTCTGAGAAAAGAAAGTCAGAGTCCAGCGGGAGAGTCCTTTCGGCTTGCTGTACTGAAGACACGGAAAATAGTCAAGAGGGTATGGCAGACTTCCGAGTCGAGGACATGGCCTGGAGCAGAAGCAGAGCAGGAGCAGGAGAAAGACAGAGGAAGGGACGGTCGCAGTTGTCGTCTCGAAGCCGGCTGAATGAAAGCGAGCGTGCCTTGCATAGACGGACTCAGACAGACCCAAAGGCGCGGACGGAACACAATTGCACTGGAGCGGAACGCAGGACGAGGGAGCAGGTGGGCTGGAGTCTGGACGTGTGTGCAACAGGTCGGGATGGAGTCAAGAAAAGAGAGGTTCGGCGGAGAGGTGACGGAGAGCGATCCACAAGGGCACTTTGGGAGCCAATTAATGCTTGTGCATATGCCCAGAACAAAGCCGCCCGCACGTGGGAAATCGTTCAATCAAGGCTTCGTGTATCTCACCAGGCCCCTAGTGGCGGCTAGTCGCACTTAATATGCGCTGCTGCTGGGCACGACGGCCAGCGGCCCTCGCGCGCGAACGGGTGCGTCAGACCGGATGACAAGAGCCTGAGGGCAGCACGGCAACAGCGGACACGCAGACAGCAGACAGCAGACAGCAGACACGCAGCGTTCCTTCGGGCGCGCAATAATTATTCCAGGATGCCTGGCAGCAGATGGGGATTGGCACCGCACGGGACGGAGGAGCAGCGAGGCGGCAGACGGCAAGCGGACGTGGGAAGGATTTTAGGTTTTCTGGCACGTCGCCTGTTTAGCCATACAAAGCCAGCAGCCCCAGTGGCCCTTTGCGTGCTCGCCGCCCGTCGACCCGCTGTCGATGCAGCGCCATGTACACGCCCTCGTGGCCCGCTGGGCTCCTCCACGCCGTCGCAGAGGCAGAGGCGCGTGTTGGCGACCCCTCCCGCAGAAGCAAGTAAACGTCGTTGATGGCCATTCTACTCCCCAGCCTCGATCCAAAATCGCTCGTTCGAGCATTTGAGCAGCGACGTTCCCCCTCCCCCCCCCCCCCCCCCAGCGTGCTGGCGCAGGTGCTGCCGGCGCCTCGAGGAACCCTGGAACGGAAGATCCAAAAATAATAGTTTTGTGGAGGCGGTCGAGTCCCCTTTCCACCCATGGGCGTCGAAGAGGGACTCCGCACGTCCAACCACGGCACAGGACAGTGGTGGTGAGAGACGCGCACGGCCAGCAGGAGCAAGACGCGCCCATGGCATCATCCCACGTCGCCGCGGCCACGCCCGCCCACGTTTTCCATCAATATCCTCCCGATGCTCTCCTGCACACAGCCCTCGTTCCTCCGCCAGGGCGCGAACACCTCCTACCCCTGTGGCCTCTGATCCCCCCGATCACGACCCTCGTCCAGATGGTGCCTGCCAGAGTTACTCCGGGACATCAACCTCTGCTCCCGGACTTTTGCCAAAACTTCGACAGATACACAGCCTCTTTTGCCCTACCAATTGCGCCGCGGCAATTGGCTCGCTTGCAGGAATGCTGCTTACCGTGAAGATGCACCTGTGTTCTCGAGTGCGTCCGGGTCATGGTTGTATCCATGGGCCATGGCAGGCGACCCTTGTTGCAAGTTTCATTCTCTCAAGTCCCGTTTCGTGTCTCGTAGGGCGAAATTGCCTGATCCTCGGTGGCCGGTTGCATCCCAGTGCCATTCATGACTCGGAACTATGGACTTTCCCAGTTGCACTCACATGATCCCTGTGTCGCCAGAACGTGTTGCAGAATGCAGACTCGACAGCTCGACAGCTGCTTTTGTTGGTTGCCACATATATGCCAGGGGGTAGCACGGCATCTCCTTAAGTCACGTTGACATGACACTGCAGCAAATCAAGCGCACGGTAACCGCCATCGGTGAGGCTTTGCTTGATTTCCGGCAGCTGTCCCGGCAAGGGTTGACTTCTTGCTTAAAGTCGCCAGTCGGAGCTTTGCCTCAAGAGACATGTTGAGTAGCACAAGCAAAACCTTCCAATGTCTTCGGGACTAGCAGCTGCCGTCGCGTTGTCATCCTAAAACCACAGACTTTACTCTTCTTCCACCTGGCTACATGCTTCAGTGCCACGATTGTATGTTCCCTTCTCGGAAACACTGCTTTAGATGACACATCGTGGCTTCTTCATGCAACCATATGTTAACATCCACACATATGTCTTGCCCCCCTTTTGGCCGGTTCTCTCGGGGTGGAACTGAGTAGAACACGTGCTTTAGGAAGGGTAAAGAGCAATCAGCTACTCAAGTCACATGGTTACACCGATGGACGGCTGCCTCCCCGTCTCAGCACCTAACCTTTCAGGGCGCGTCAGAACGCATGAGAAAGGAACATCCGTAGGTGCTTACAGTGAACACAGGGGTCTGAGCCCCGATGACCTCCTTTGTTGCTACAAAAATCTTGAGATTGAACACAGCCGCATCCCTTCAATACTTACCTGTCATCGAACAGCCCAACAGGCACTTGAAAGGCTCCGTTTCCACATGCCCGAAGCGAGGTCAAGTCATACAGCAACGCACATGGCGTGTTGCGTCCACCATATTTTGCTCTCACCCAGGCTTGAGTGTGCGACCATATCTAAACCCAGGGACCCGGTTTGCAATTGGAACGGCTTTGTGTCAGGTGTCAATGCGTGTCTTGTCCTCTGCCAGAGGAGTACATGTGCGTGTGCTCCCATCTCTCATACCCTGTAACGGTCTCAGTCTCGATGTCGATATCGTCTTTCCCTGGACCGGGATCAAGCTCCGCATTTAAGCTTGTACACTGAGTCTGCGGTGTCGTCTGAGTTCTATGTTGTCAGGCTAGCCTTTGTTTGCTCAAGTGAGTGTTTGAAACATTGAAAGTGAGCACCGCATCGGTACATTCGTAGGGTAATTGTGGACCCCCTATGCCAAGAGCTGCTGTGTCTGAAGTCAGTTCTATCGATCTTCAAGCGGCATATTTAGACTACATTCAGTTCCTTCTATATGGCAGCAAAACATCAAAATTCATGTTAGGACCCCACCTCGCTAATCATGTGCCCGTTTTCAGATATCCGACTCGAGCACAGTTCCCTCTAAGAACCACCATTCTATCTGGAAAGGAGTAGAACACGTTGTTGTACTCCCTCTGAACTCTGTGTTCGATCTCAGCCACTCAGAATACTTGCAGGATCGCTCCCACTCTTCAGACCGCATCAGGATTACACGTTGCGGGGTCATCTACACGGGCATTTCAAGATGCACGACTAAATGCCTGTCGTGTGTCGACCCATCCGTCTTCTACCGTTTGACGTTCACTGGTGGTACTGTTGAGGATATTTGCCGTGCCACTGCTCCCAAAACTAGACAAGGTACATGGTTGCGCCTCTGATAGACAACACGGGAATATGATTGAACATGGCCCGCTCGGTCAAACTTCCTTGCAAAAACCGAAGGTAGACAAAGACTGCCGAACCTACTTCACTCCTTCCCAACACGGAAGCCAGTAGATAGGAAAGTGAGTTTCTCCTTATCCTCGGTTTCACAGATGGAGGAATTCAGCCTCGCCGGCCCCCAAATTTCGAAGACATGGAAGAAATTTTTGCCACCGAACACGACGGCTTCCACGGCTTTCACATGTAATCATAACTCCCTGCAGTAGTGCTGTTGCACTCAATCTTCGGAGAATTCAAGGTTGAGATGAGATGTCTCTTCTCAAGGCCGAACCAGGAATCTGGCACATGTATTCGGCCAACTCCGAAATTCATTTGAGACCCTTGAGATGTAGTATTTGTACGGACTTTTGGCATCCTGCAGGAGCATGCGCCGAAATCGTATCGTACGTTAAGGATGGGTCAATGCACGATCCGAACCGTTGTTCAGATATGGGTTCTGACGGCTGACGGTGTGGGGACAGTCCCAAGGTTGGCTTTATCCCCATTTGGAGTGCAAAGGTATCAACCTTGGAAGGCCTAGAATGGAACGGTCTAAGATTTCAAGACTAGACCTCATGGGAAGGTCACGTGTTTGCAGCACGGACGCGGATCGTGAAATTCAACGTCAATAGAACGACTAGGCATGGCGGGGTAGTGTTCGAGAATAACACAGCGCGTCAGACAGAGTGTCTCAGAGATTATGAGTCTAGAAAATGGCTCTGGCACGATTCCGCCGTCTTCAAAAGCAGTCAGTTCTACTACCACGGAAATGACAACCCTTCAGGCAGCTCCTTTAGAACCCTTCTCAGACTCCTCCATTTCCGATAGAGTCACTGATGTCTTCCCCTTCCTGCAGTTGCCTCGCGAGCTTCGGGATCAGGTGAGAGCAGCTCTATCATATTGCCGGATCTCAGGCTAACTCTAACGAGATTTACAATAATGTCCTCGACAACCTCGATACCCGAGGCGTCGAAGCCGCTCGGATCGAACGCCGCCATCTCGTACACTTCGAGCCCACAGCTGCCAATTTCCTCGTAGTCCTCCACCACGATAGCATTTGTCTCAACCGCCAAGTGGCCGCTGAGGCCCTCGAAGTGCTGCTCAAACACCATACCGTCTTCTTGAGCTGTGGACCATTCGTTCTCAAAAAGCTACTCCTTCTTATTGCAGAATCTGATCCCGGGAAGACATGGCTGAAGTGGCTGCGGAAGATTGAGTTGGACTGGGTCACTTTCCCCAACCTACGCTGGTATCCGCCTAGCAGAACTGAGAGAGAGTCGTGGTGGACTATTGTTGACAAAGACATCCAGAATGAATATGTACATGGTACGCGGAGTAACGGGAATTACAATGAAGAATATCTATGGGATTACGATGGCGAAGGCTACGACGATAATTTCTATGAAGCAGCAAACATGAGTCTTCACCCTTCGCTGGATCACGGACCGGCTCTCCCGACCTCAGACGACGATCCCTTTGGTATCTCGACCCACTATCCCTTCTCAGACCCCGCTGAAGAACCCACATACGATGTCGAGACGCAAGATGAATTGTATACAAAGCTGGATCTGCTTATTGACTTGGAAGTACGACCTCTCTTCGCCTACCTCTCTACTTCCGTCTTCGCGCTCTCAAGTATCACGATCCCCTTGTACTTCATCTCCAAACCCTCGCTACAGCACCGCCATATCACACGCCCGGGATCATCTCTTCCATTGAGACTCAGGTACTGGGTCCAGGTGGTGGTTCACGCTCTTCTGATGCTCAACCCACTGTCTGGCGACACCCCGGCCAAACTGGACGAAGTGCGAGTCAAGTACATGTCTAAGGATGTATGGGCCGCTATGGAGCCCTGCGATGACCTCACGAGAATGGCGAAGGACGGTATTTTCCCGAATGACGATGATGAGGATAGGGAGGGCGAGGGCGAAGCATTTAAAGCCGTGAAAGCCGAGCTAGCGAAGAGAGGTGTCAAGATCGAGGAAGAGCTAGATGTCAAGGTCAAACTAGTCCGATGGCAGGGAGACCTGGATATGTGGAAAGTTGGAGATGAATTAGATGTCACCTTTACACGGGCGGATAAAGCCAATCGACCCCCTACGGCTACAGAGAAAGTTCTGGAGTCTTCAATCCCCTGACCACCGCGTCTGATGTGCCCAAACCCGTATGTCTGGATACCTACATCCTGGGACCTGGGCAGCCGAATTGCATGACAGCGGTGCCGCACCGCAGATTCTCCCTCAATTATACCCACGGTCGCCGTCGTTCTTGGATATTATCGTTTCCAGTATCCCACTTGAAACTCAACGAGAAACATGCTCTCCATCTTCGGCGATTTTCGGACCCCCTTCTATCACAAGATCGGATAAGGCTGAAACTCGCATGTGAAATACACTATACGTGGCACCAGATTGGAGAGCCGCTGTCAACCCATCACAACAATCTTGAACTACCACATTGCCTGCCCTCTATATACCAATGGATATAAGCATTCTTTCTCACAGAGCTGAAATGGTCATAGAATCTAGGAGAACTACGGTTCCTCCAGCGGATTTCGGACTACGATAAGATATATAACCAGTGGGGAGGAGGAAAACTCATGCCCTTGGCTGTGAAGATAACAGGTGGCCGAACGTAGGCTAGAGGGTTCTTAGGCATTGGAGATCTATATTCTGCATACAGACGGCAGGGCGCAGATGGCCGAACGTTGAGAGCGAAGACTATTTGAACTTGTTGGCTTGCTACTACTACTACCATGGAGGAATCTCGAAGGAGGATCCGGGGGTTTTGTCTCTCAGTGAACTTGGACATGCGCTGTTACGTGTGCCGTTACGTGTGCAAACATTTGTCTTTCATGTGCACAGGCAACAGCAAGTAGTAGCAGACAATCTTTGTTCTTAACGTTACACCGTACCCGTCAACAAGAAAGATCATGTTCAGCGCTACCAAGTCCTTATGTGTGGTCAGTTTGTTTCGTCACAGTGATAACCTACTACGGCGGGCAATCTCACAAAGCAGGTGGAAGGCGAGTCTAAGCAAATACTAGTTGAAGAAGCTAATGCGCACATGCCCGAGAGCCTGAACCTAATGTATCAACCTGCCACAACAACAGAGTGTCTAGCAAGAGAACGATGTAGAAGGATCGATGGAGAAGAGAATCAAAGACAACTTTTAGATACCGCCGCGAGGTGAGTGGGAAAGAGAGGCGGTGGTCAAGGTGTTGATGCAAGATATCTGAGCGTAGGGATCTGAAAGTCCACAACTCGGAATGGATGCATTGACCCATCACTTACCACCTGAGCACTTACTTGAGATGTATACTTCCGGTACAACGTCTAGAAGGTGACCTTAGATCCCTTGAAGTCGCCGAAGCCACCACGGTTGTAGGATCCACCGCCGCGACCTCCTCTCGGGCCTCCGCGACCTCCACCACGGCCACCTCCACGACCACCGAAACCGCCTCGTCCTCGGCCGCCACGATCGCCTCCGCCCCTACCACCAAAGCCGCCACCTCGGCCGCCACCCCCTCCACCGCTGTTGTCGCGAGGAGTGGCATAGTCGATGCGGATAGAGCGACCAGCAAGCTCCATACCGTTCAAGGCCTCAAGGGCAGCCTTAGCTTCATCGACCGTGGTGAAGTCGACGTAGCCAAAGCCCTTCGGAGCGCCGGTGTCCCTGTCAGTCGGGAGGGAAACACGGCTAATCTCGCCGTACTCGCTGAAGGCCTCGGATACCATATCATTTGTGGCGTCGAAAGAGATGTTTCCAATGAACAGAGTGTTGCTTGGCTGACTAGGTTGGTCACCATAACGTTTGGCCCTGTCGTTGCTCTTCTCCTTGAATCCTCCAGCCTGTTGTTGACGAGGTTGGCTGAAATCCACGTTCAACTTTCGACCATCGAGTTCGTAGCCCTGCATAGCAGCATGAGCATCTTTCGCAGCTTGAACAGTAGCATATTCGACGTAGCCAAATCTATTACTTTTAGTAAAGTGTCCAAACAAATTTGAACCAGGACCACTTACCCTCGCGAACGGCCGGTGTCCCTGTCGGTCACGACACGGCAGCCAACAATGTCGCCGAATTGCTCAAATTCGCGGGATAGCCATTCTTCGTCCACGCTCCAGCTCAGACTTCCAACGAACAGATTCTTCACGCCCTCCTCTTCGACAGCGTTCTCAGTCTTGGTCTTCTTGACAACTGGCTCTGAGGCAGCCTCAGCCTTCCGCTTCTTAGTGGGAGCTTCTTCTTTCTCGCTAGCAGAGGAATCATCGGAATCGGATCCCGAATCCGATTCGGCGTCAGAGTCAGAAGAAGCGGACGAATCTCCGTCGGAAGCAGCCTATCTTTTTGTGAGCATCAAAGGGAAGAACACGATGACCATTGACTTACCGTAGCCTTCGCAGATTTCTGCACTTTGGCCGCGGACTTGGTGGCGGACTTCTCTTCTTCCGATTCGTCCTCGCTGCTATCGCTGCTTTCATCAGATGATTCGGATTCAGACTCGGATTCAGATTCGGACCTCGTGGCAGGCTTCGAAACACCGTTCGACTTAGTGCCATTTGCCTTGGGAGCGACGGTTTCCTCGTCACTCTCGCTGTCCTCACTGTCCTCGTCGCTTTTGTCCGAAGAAGCATCACTTGACTCGTCATCAGATTCGGCTTGAGCAGCTTTAGCGGCGGGCTTTGCGACTCCGTTTGTCTTGGTAGGGGCCTTCTTTTCGACCTCTTCGTCCTCACTGCTGTCCGCAGAACTGTCGCTGTCACTGGAAGCCGACTCCTCGGACTCGGACTCTGGTTCTGGGGTTGGCGCCTTCTTGGTCTTCTTCTTCTTCAGCTCCTCACGAGCATGGCTAGTAGCAGCAGACTTAGCCACCTCTTTGCTCTTTGCTTTGGGCGTTTGAGCCGACTTGGTGACGCGGCCTTCTTTGACGCTGGCCAACTCAGATTTCTTCGAGTCCTTCTTGGAGACCCTGGCGACGTCGCCTTTGCTCGACTTAGTTTTGCCCATGGTGTGACGTTTCGTTCTGATCCTGCGGTATATTAGTATGGCTGGAGGCACCGACTATAGCGCCGGTGAAGGTGCGACAAAAGGAAAGGGGAGGGAAGAGGACGAGAAGGCCTCGTCACTCGTGCGCTGGTTCGAAAAACGAAAGCGGCGCACACAGCCTGCTCCTAGATGGGAGTCTCAAAGTGCGAAAAGCCCACTGGTATCTCTCGAGCCCGCGCGAAACGGGAATCCCTCAAGCCCACGAGTAGCCCACAAGAGCCCACAGAAGAATGGCTTCAAGGCGTTGTGTTCCCACAAAGGCCGAGAAGACAAGATGAAAACCCTCAGTAGCAAAAAGCCATCTGAATCTTGTCGTGCTCTGACGAGCGACGGTGTGTAAAGGAAATGTGCCCAGATGCCCACTGACTTGTAATTTGTTTCTGGTACCTATTGGAGCGCTGTGCCCTCGAAAAAGCCCTCAGTAGCCCTCAGAAGCCCTCAGAAAGCCCTCAGAAAGCCCTCAAAGTGATTCTCGAGCTGAAGATGCACGAGAGAGAAGATGCCGTTAGGGGGAAAAGATGGATAGCAGGTGGAGGAAAAAGTTGGGAGGCGGGTGGGCAGAAAATTTAAAGACTGAAGCTAGTCTGCCAAGATTTCGAGCGGGCTTGGCGAGGCAGAGGCGGTCAGGAGGCACTAAGTGAACTGCAGCACTAAACACATCAACTCCATCACGGCAGGCGCAGGCCATCCATTGCCAACTCAATGGCGTCACCGCACCAGCACAAACCTCGACGTCGGAGGAAGATTGAAGAGGGTTCGCTTGCCCACGTAACCCATGGCACTCTAGACCTTGACGCGCAAACCCACGCGCGAAAGCCTGCGTTCCCTCTCGTTGCATTTCTCTGGCCTGCAAAAGGCACCGTGTCGCAATGGGTCACGATACCCCTGATCTTGATGACCGCTGGGCTCTTTAGGTGGGTCACGGGATTATGGGGCTACTCAGGCCTTCGTTCGCCGCCAATGCATGGAGACTTCGAGGCCCAGAGGCATTGGATGGAAATCACAAAGCATCTTCCCGTTTCGGAGTGGTACTTCCATGATCTCGAGTGGTGGGGCCTGGACTACCCTCCCCTAACAGCATACCACAGTTGGCTTCTTGGAGTCATGTAGGTTAATTTCCCCTTATTCATTGTTGGCAATTGCTCATACCCTCCGCTAGCGGCTCTGCGATTAACCCCGACTGGTTTGCCCTTTTCAAGTCCCGCGGTCTTGATGATCCGTCCTTGAAGATCTACATGCGAGCGACCGCTTTCATATCTGAGTACCTCATCTACATACCAGCTGTAATAATCTTCCTCCGCCGATATTCTCGTGTTGAGCGGGTCAACGTTTGGGAGGCATCCATTGCCCTCGTCGCGGTCCTGATGCAGCCTGCGACGATTCTGATCGACCACGGTCATTTCCAGTATAACACAGTCATGCTTGGATTCATGCTCGCAAGCATGTCGAGCATGGCCGCCGGACGCCCCTTGTGGAGTTGTGTCTACTTCGTCGGTGCGCTTGGGTTCAAACAAATGGCCTTGTTTTACGCTCCCGCCGTCTTTGCCTACCTGCTAGGGATATGCGTCTTTCCTAAGGTAGACTTGATGCGCTTATTAGCCATCGCTGTAGTTACGGTGCTCTCGTTTGCCCTGCTCTACCTTCCGTTTCTACTGGGGATCTTATACGATATGTACCGAGGCATCTCTCTAGAAGACTTTCCAATTCCTCCGCTCCTGGCTTCTTTTCCAGTGCCTTTGGACGAAAAATCTTGGTTCTATCCCATCATTCTCGAGCTCGCACAGACCGTGCACCGGATTTTCCCCTTTGCACGTGGTATATTTGAGGACAAGGTAGCCAACATATGGTGCGCCATTCACACCTTCCATAAGCTTCATCAGTACTCAGGCCCGCTGCTCCAACGAGCTGCGCTTGTTGCCACATCTGCCGCTATTGCACCCCCTTGCCTCATTCTTTTCTTCAAACCACGAAAGGAACTTCTCCCTCTCGCTTTAACCGCTACTTCCTGGGGTTTCTTCCTCTGCTCGTACCAAGTCCACGAGAAGAACGTCCTGCTTCCTCTACTTCCCATGACCGTTCTATTGAGTGGGGATGGAGGTCTGCTCCCATCAATACGTTCATGGGTCGGGCTAGCCAACATCCTTGGCGTCTGGACCATGTTTCCGTTGCTGAAGAGGGACGGCCTAAGGGTCCCATATTTGGTCATTACCTTGTTGTGGGCCTACCTCCTTGGCCTGCCTCCGGTATCGTTCTCTGCATATCATGAGGGGAGCACAGGCGGATTAAGACTCCCAACTAAGATTCTCCACCTTAATATCTACCTTGCCATGGTAGGATGGCATTTAGTTGAAGCGTTCGTACCGCCTCCGACGACCAAGCCGGATCTTTGGACAGTGACAAACGTGCTCATCGGTTTTGGGGGCTTCGGGATTTGCTACCTCTGGTGTTTATGTCAACTTTTCTGGAAGAGTGGACTGATGCAAGTGAAATCAGGAGGCGCGGGAGAGGAGAAGGACAAGGCAAAATTCAAAACACTATGAAGGGGGTTTTAATTCCTAGATTGTCTCTTAAGATACCCATGTCTCTGATTAGAGGGAAGATTCTGCTTTTATTTATGCTTGTTGTATATAGTATATGTTTACAATCAGGCGACCATCCCAAGCTGCGTTCGCCCGCAATGATAACGCCGAACCAATGCTATCCTGTACAGCCTTCCTGTATTCGTCTCGTACTCATCGTACATGGGAAGCGTCCTGCTTCATATCTTGAACCCGTAGCCAGCCATACAGTCCTTGTATTTCGTCACTAGGCCGGCGCATTCTTTTTGGGCATTGTCGCCGGTCGAGAAGAGCATGCATTCGTCGCGGGCGGCCTTCTCGTCTTTGCAAACGCAGCAGGGCTGTGATACGACTATTAGTTCTACACCGGTTCTAACATGTATTTAAATATCCAAACGATAGATGCTCTCATACCTTGGGTTTCGCCGCATCGCTGGAGGGCTTCAAGTCCGCGACCATGTTCGCCGCCGTGGGAGGAGCCTGCCCTGAGGTCTCGATTAGCCTTTAAGCTCTTGAAAATATAGTCGCAAAGCCTACTTGATTGTCCTGCGCCCATTGTGTCTGTTCAAAAGAGTGGAATGACGATGCTCTCTGCTTATCAATCCAGGACTGAGAACATTTAACCTCTGCGCCGGTCTCTCGGCAAGGATCAGCAAACTCAATTTCCCCCATCTGGTTAGTGCCATATTCCCCGTTTGTCAGCAACATAACGCTCTGCTTCACTCCCCCAAGTCTCTGCTGAAATCACTGTTACGTTGATAATTGAATTTAAATTCTACATATAGTAGGCCATACGAGCTATCTCGTGTCCGTATTTCTGTCCACTCTACGCGAAATAACGGCCCCAAGAGTTGGTCCAACATTTGGCCTATATTGGGGCCAATTGAGACGGAGATGATATCCTGGCCATGAGATTCAGCCAGCTAACTTCAAAGCTGCCAGCCAGTTCTCTTAACCAGCCAATTTCTAAATGATCGGCCAATTCGTTCGACCAACCGAATCCAAAGCTGTCAGCTAAGTAGAGTTGGCAATTCTCGTGACTGATAAAGGATAATATGGGAGGTCCTGTCTCAGAACTTAGATCACGCTAAATCAAAGTAAAAAAATACATTGGTGACGTTGGCAAGGTATTGCATCCTCTACGAAACAGATTCTATACCTTATCGAAAGGGCAATGCTTCAGAATCAAGCCTTGACTCTACTACAGACAAGAAATCGCCAGCAGCAAGGTTAGCGAAAGGAAAGATACATCTGGGTGACCCATTCTTTGCTCGATATGGTGTTGTCGGCCCCGTTATATCACAACAGGTGCTGTATTGGGCTTCAATGTCGAAGCACGGCCAATACTTTGTCCTCAACCCTTCCTGCAATACAAGACCCTACAAGGACATTAGAGCGAATCTGAAATGTCTTGCCCCTCTTCCATGGACATTCTAGCTCCAATGTAGCTGTACCAGCCAATTGTCTCGGAAGAGTCGCTGGCATTCTCAAGAAGAAATCATAAGCCAGGAGTAGCTTTGCAAGAACTAGTGCCGACATTGGCATCACTCAGCAGTCTGGTTTATACCCGCACGACGGCTTGGGAAAGACGGTAATAGGTGTTAACAAGTCAGCAGACACCGAGATTGAGAGAGGTGGCACTGTTGGACAAGTGCCGTTTTATGTCGCCTGCTTGTGCATCTCCCTTGCGATGGCGGGGCTGGGTTCGAAGTCCTCAATGTCCATAATGAGAGGAGAGGGGGAATATTCTCCAGCAATCACAAATCGGCTGAACATGCTCTATGGCCTCGTTATGTGTGAAGTTAGGCCGAAGGAGAGTCAAGCGGAGGGAGTATATCGCCAAAGTCATAGAGCTTGGCATTTCGAGCACCCCCGACACTCCCGACGCTGCAGGGGGTTAAAGGGTTTCCGCAGCAAACCCCACCACAACACACCGAAACAATTCTGCCCAACTCGCATCACAAACACCACGCACACGCGCACACAAACACTTAATACCCACACTCTCTGCTCGCAAGCCCTAGTATCATTATTGTTTACAACGACATTCTTGTCTTTTTGGCACTATGTCTGATTCCAAGATTTTCTCTCTCGAGGGCAAGGGCCTCAAGCTCGACACGGCCGAGGACATCGAGCCGCATATCAAGGACCTGAAGGAAAATGCTGATGTGGAGGAGGTGCGGCTGCTGGGTAACACGCTGGGGATAGGCGCGTCTGAGGCGCTGTCCAAAGTCCTCGAAACCAAGAAGAAACTTCAGGTTTGTTTACCCTCTCTACTCTCCTATTTACCCTACTCTAATCTACATTCTCCCTTAGGTCGCAAACTTCGCCGACATCTTTACCTCCCGTCTCCTCTCGGAAATCCCTCCCGCTCTCCACAGCCTCCTCACCTCTCTGCTCGCCCTTCCAAACCTCCACACCGTCAACCTCTCCGATAACGCATTCGGCCTGAACACCCAAGCCCCCCTCGTCGACTTCCTCTCCCAGCACGTCCCCCTCCGCCACCTAATCCTAAACAACAACGGTCTTGGCCCCGCTGCCGGCGTGCTTGTTGCAGATGCCCTCACTGCCCTCGCCGAGAAGAAAGAAGCCGCCAGAAAAGAAGGAAAACAGGTCCCAGACCTCGAGACCGTCATCTGTGGTCGCAACCGTCTCGAAAATGGCAGCATGGCAGCATGGGCGAAAGCTTATGCTATGCACAAAGGCGTACGCGAGGTCAAGATGGTGCAGAACGGTATTCGACAAGAAGGGATCACCCACCTCCTCACGCACGGCTTGTCTAATGCTTCGAAACTCAACGTCCTGGATTTGCAAGACAACACCTTCACAGCAACGGGCGCAAAGGCGCTTAGCAATGTCGTCGGAGGCTGGACTGAACTGAAAGAGTTGGGTGTTGGTGATTGCTTACTCAGCGGACGAGGGGGAGTTGCGCTAGCAACCGCGCTTCAACAGGGGAAGAATGCAAAGCTAGAGGTTCTGAGGCTGCAGTACAATGACATTAATGCCAAGGGTGTCAAAGGCCTTGTTGATGCGCACGAGAAGCTGCCAGCCCTCCGCCGCGTCGAACTGAACGGCAACAAATTCGACGAGGAGGACGAGAGCATCCAGAAGCTTCGCGAAGTTCTCGATGAGCGGAAGGAGGCTGCCGATGGTGTTGGCGAGGACAACGAGGAGTACTGGGGTGTTGATGATCTTGATGAACTGGAAGAGGAGAGTGAGGAAGAAGAAGAGGATGAAGCCACGAAGCTCAGTGAGGAAGAGGAAGAGGGTGTCGAAGTCGAGGAGAAGGCAGCAAGGGAGATTATTGCGGCAGAGCAGGCGGAGGAGGAGAATGTGCCATTGGGGCAGGACAAGAAGGTCGATGAACTGGCGAATGCCCTTGCTAAGACTGAGATCAAATGATTTGACAGTCCTAGACTTTCGCTTTGGGGAAGGGTCGGCTATGTAATAGTCTTGGTGCTTGCTTGGTTGCCTGATGGCCTTGGAATGTTTCGTGGCGTCAGCAAGGGGATTTGTGCATACTTCAGGGGTTGATACCATAGAGTGATCCATATGATTAGCAACATGCAAGAGGTCATAGCAAAATCTAAATAGAACAGAAATATAGATATTCTGCAGTGAAGCTGGGGACTTTTGATACAATAGAGCCATGTCCGATAGTCGATGTCCGCGGCTACCCACCCACCTTCCTCCTTCCTTGCTCCTTTCCCGCATCGCTCCCACTCCCAGTTTCTTCTCCCTTCCTTTTTCCTCACACACTACCCCACATCCTATCCAGTTCATCTCTACACCAATATGAACCAACTCCTCTCCAGCTCTCTTCTAGGGACAGCAAAAGTATCTATGTGCCAGGCTTGTTATAATGGCACAATCCATTTGTAGCGCTACGTTACATTGCATTCAAGACATTGCCTTAGATTTTCTAGTTCTAGGATGATTGGCTGCGTGCGTGTATTTGGGCGGTGTCGGTTGAATAGTGGGAGAGCAGATATTTTTGCTTCCGTACGGGATGGTATGGGGTAGGTACGGGGGAGCTTTTTCTTCCTCCTGCTTTTCCCTGATCATGCTGTAGAGGTGTTATGCAAAGAAGTGCAAATACAGAGGAGACGAAATGGATTTAATTCATCAATCCATTTAATTCATCCGTTCATTTTTTCCTAGACCTAATCCCTCCCAGTGAGACTGTCAAGCATGCATCATCATCATCTAAATCATACATCGTCACAATAGTCCATCAGCATCCACATTGTGAACAGCGGACGGTAGAGTGAACCCCTAAATCTACTCCGCCGCCACAGCAGTCGTATTCTCATTCTTGTCAGCCGTGATAATTCCCTTCTCAGTGTGACCATGAGCACGAGACTCACGCGAATGGAGCATATTAGTCTCATCTTTAGCCAAATTCTCTGGCTCACGTCCAATCTTCGGACGAAGAGCAAGAGCCACATTCTCCAGATTGGCCTCCATATCCTTATGCGACTGCTCCTCATGAGACAACCCCTGGCCATTGGAAGTATCGCTCAGACTCATCGACTTGCGTTTCTCCCGTTTAGCAGCAATACTCTGCGCATGAGCCGTCAGTCCGCCTTTCTCCGTGTGTCCGTGGGCACGAGCCTCCAGCGAGTGAAGCTTATCCGCCTCCTCCTTGGTGACAATTCCTTTCTCAACCTTGGGCTCGATCTTGGCGTACTCCTCCTGCAGAAGCGGCTCGAGCTCTGGGTGAGGTGCGTGAGTGTGGCCGATTGCCTTCTGCATCTTGCTCACGGCCGTCTGGGCGAGCTTGAGGACCTCCGGGGTGACGCTGCCGGGGTTGGCGTCGATGGTGGCGTGGAGGTCGATGACGATGGATTGGAGGGAGGCTTCATCTGATACAGAATGAGGCTCACCTTTCTCAGATTGGATCTCGTGGTTGGCGACGGCGAAGGATTCGACGGCTGAGATGATCCGGGATGAGCGCTCGTCTACGGCGTTGTAGTGTTCGTGCAGGCGGCGGGCATCGTCGGCTGTGATGGAGAGCGGGTCTTTCTGCAGCTGCTCGAGGACCTTTTGTAGGTGGTATTGGAAGCTCTGGGTAAGGTTAGAGAAACTAGGATCTTGATGAAGGGTCATGGTGCTTACCATGTCCTTCTTTTGAACCGAGTCAGCACGCTTGCGATCCTTAAGATCCATGGTATCGTCAATGTTCTTGTGGACATGGACCTCAATGGGAGTGGATTGGGTGGTCATGGTGTTGTAGTTTTGAGAGAAGAAGTGGAAGAGGGACCTGTGGTTGAAGCGTTGACGGAGTTTGAGGGAGTTGAGGATAAGAAGCAACGCTCTGTTGGGAGGTCCTTTAAGAAGAGGTGGCCATGAACATATTTGTTTACGGTGACGTAGATGCTGGGTATGGACGGCAACCGCGAGCAAACGCAGGTGCGACTGCTTTCACCGCATTGGCTTAAGAACCGTCACTTCAGCACCTGGTTCACCGAATCTCCCTAGACTATTGCGTCCAATTGGTCGTTGAGTTATGCATCTCCTTGACTTTCTCCGGCATTCTGGTCACAGCATTGAGAGATCGAATTTTCCTTCTTGATGTTCCGTGCTGGTTGCCGATATGGTGGAGATACACTTTGCAAGTGGTCGTCTGAACTCATCTTTGGTTGGGTGATTCTGTTGGCCAATCTTACGGGAACCCAACTTATAGCACACAGAAATAGTCTCAGCGCGTGATAAGAACCTCGAGAGCTCTGACCATTGCATTCCTTAACTAGACAAGAAATAAATAAAAGCGAGTCTTGGCCTTCCAGATGCCATTGAGTTTTCGAAGAACCAAGAGAGAAGCGTTCTGCTGGTTGGAATTAACCTACGAGCATGCACTGTCCTTCAGCCAAGATACTGTAGAATGCTGGGGCCTTCTATGGAGACTATGGAGGAGCATTTTGATCTAGCAAACGCCATGCTGGAATTACGAAGAAAATGGCAGAAATACAGACTTCTGTCCTCAACCAGACGCTGTCGTGCTCTGCCAATGCAACTTTCTTAACATAACACCCACTTAGCTCTCTTTGAAGAAGAGCACCCTTATGGCGGGGAGACTCTTCACCTAATATAGTGTGAGACAGCAATGATAGCATAACCTCACTGGGCTGGTATATAGTTAGGAGGTCGATAAAAAGTATAGAATTTGCAGCGGTTGGCGCCTCGATCGGTTCCTTCCTAGAGAAGCCTGGCGCAGAAGTGTCATCGCGCTATGGTATAGCATGGAAGAGTCAGTGGGACACACAGGAAATAATCCTCTTCAAAAGCCCCCATGCGATCCGTGTATGCCCCACTACCAAGTGCTAGATAGAGTAAAGTAGATCCCAGGACAGCAGTGCAAAGGCTTGACCGTCAAGAGCACGGAAGCACAACACCGCCCATGCAAGGCAAGCCGATTACCGGGACGGTTGAAGGTGGTAACTGCGCCAGGAAGTCCGAAACATTTGGTAAAACAAAGGCAGATTTGGTGATGCTCTGAAGGTCTTTCTGCAACACAACACAATTAGCCGGATGGGGGGGGGGGGATCTGCGAGGGAGGGGTGCAGCAATGCGTCAGTTTTCTCCACTGCTTGCACTCGCGTTTGTTCTCAGTGCGGATTTTGGTAGCGGGACCCGACTGAAAATCTCGATTCATGCCTTGCTGGGGAGGGAATCCGTTGCCGGCCCGTCTGCACCAGTGCGGGGACGGTTCAGTTCTCAAGGGGTCTGTCTTTTTGTGTGCGAGATGGGTTGAAGCCAGCGGGCCAGTGTGAAACTGAACGTGAAACAGAAGGCAGCCATGATTCCAAGATGTGAGATTCTATCGATCGCGGGGAAGAAACTGGAGACCCACGATAGACTGTGGAGGAGTAAGAAAGAACGAGCAGCTGTCGTCTGATGACAATCGCGAATTAAGGACCCCCACGCACGACCCACTGTCCAAGGCCGAGGAATTTCAGGAGCTTGCTGGCTGCTTAAGGGATCAGCGGCCCAGCGCCTTTACCGCAAGCCACGGGCTGTTTGAAACGCGCCTCTCGCCGAAAACGAAGAGTTCGCTCGCGCGGGGGCGCTTGACTGGCCATCCACGGCAGACGACGTTATCATCGGACAAAGAAATAAGAATGCGCCTCGCTCACGGACACGTCGCGAAATTTGTTGCTAATTCCCGGCAACGAATTGGATGGTTTATCGGCATGCTGTGCATCTGAGACGTTTGGGACCTGCATGTGAGTGACGTGAGGCTTCGCTTGTCCCTGTGCTCAGGCACATCGCGGGAAGGGCTCTGAAGGGGGTGGAGGGCAAGATGTTTTGTCGACAGCAGGCTGGGCGAACCCGCAGTTTGCCGTTCCTGTCATAGCCGCTTGGGAGTGTACGCTGCTGGTGTAAAGGCAAGGGGCAAGGAAGGTTTTTCTTTAAGAAAAGTTCGCTCAGCAGGGGTCCCACCGAAAGCGCCATCGACGTAGCTCGGCCGCTCAGCAGCACTGCGGTGACTTGTCAATCCCTCCGACCCACCTTATCTGGCCACTCGCCGGCATTCAGATACGCGTAGGGGCTCTTGTCGAAATGAAAATTGATGATTAGGGCTCCTTGTATTTAGCACCCATCCCTTCGTGGTGCACCCTGACAAGCATCTCTCGTTTCTTTGTATCTATCTCCAGGCTTCATCTCCCTTCCAGCGCGTCTTTTCTACCCCCCGTTTCGGGTTTTTGAACGCCAGTCACTCGCTTGAACACTTAAACTAAACACTCGCTTCAAATCTCTCTTCGGAGTCTCCACGACGTCATTGAGCTCACCCTGGGGGTAGCTAGGCCGGAGCATCCACATAAACCCAGGAGCTTCGACTTTTTTCTCTCCGCGAAAATGACGACACCCGCCGACGAAAGGCCCGAACCTACCTACAATATGCACACCAACATGCATCACCAGCGGTCCTCCGATGACGATGGCACATACGTTGCAGACGACTTCAGCCAGCAGAATTCACACACGGCAGCAGGGGATGCAGCGGGAGGACGAGACCGGAGCAATAGTCACTTGACGGTCAATACTGAGCATCTCAACCCGATGAATTCGATGAAGTCTCCCTCCGAAACGCGGGAGCAGGCAAGCCGCCTCGATGACGACCTGGCCATGCTCCAGATTGAACGCCAGGTTTCTAACCAAGAAGAACTCAACAGGGAGCAATCACAGTCTCGCTCAGTGCGGAGGCAGAGATCGCGTCGGGAAGACCCAATTGACGAATTCGATGCCGCTACTAACCCGTTGCACGAAAAGACGGCCATATACAAACCTCCCGAGAACCCCAGCACCAACTTCTCTAAGTTCTTCAAGAAGGTGCACAATTCGAGCTTCCTTGTCCGATACTTTGTCTACATCACGCCGCTCGTTCTAATCATTCTCATTCCACTCCTCCTCGGGGTATTTCTGTTTAAAAACGCTAGTGTGGGGGACGTGAAGCTTATGTGGTTCTGTATTTGGCTAGAGATCGTGTGGTTGACGCTCTGGGCCGGACGGGCAAGTATTTCTTCATTGAACTAGCAAGTTGACACTAACTTAGATTCAGATCCTAGCGAAATGCCTCCCGTGGCCGATTGGGCTTATTTCCAGCCTCTTCACGAACAATAGCAAGAAATGGAGAGATATGGGAAAGCAGCTCGAGCTTCCCGCTACTTTATTCTTTTGGTGGCTAGCCATCGAAATCTCCTTCCTCCCCACGATGAAGAACCACCATATTGATGGCGACAAAAGGACCAGACACTGGCAGTCTGTCATGAACAAGGTCCTCGTTGCTATCTTCGTCGGCATGGTCTTGAACTTTGTCGAAAAGATTATCATTCAACTCATTGCTATCAGCTTCCACTTGCGAACGTACGCTGATCGGATTGAGTTGAACAAATTTCAAATTGGAAGCTTGACAAAGCTGTACAAGTTCTCCAAAGAAAAGATTGCTATGGAAGACTCGGAATTCGAGCAAATGGGGCCTACATCAGGTGCTCGCACGCCTGGCCAGCTTGTCAAGGAAGCCCAGAAGAACACCAAAGAAGCGTTTAGCAAGTTTGGAGATATGGCGGGAAAGATTGCAGGAGATTTCACGGGTCGTCAAGTTGCTCAGAGCAACCATCCACACCAGGTCATTCTCGCCCTCTTGAGTAGCACTGGTGGATCTCAGGTGCTTGCCCGACGTTTGTACCGCACCTTTGCACGCGAGGAGACGGAAACAGTCTTCTCCGAAGACCTTAAGAATGCATTCGAGAACGATGAAGAAGCCGATGCAGCCTTTTCCATGTTTGACAAGGACATGAATGGCGACATCTCTATGGAAGAACTCGAGGCTGTCTGTGTGGAGATTGGTCGGGAACGCAAATCGATTACGGCGTCTTTAAAGGACTTGGACTCCGTTGTCAGCAAATTGGATGATGTGTTCATGTTCATCGTGATGGTCATCACCATCCTCGTCTTCATTTCCTTAATCTCGACCTCGGCTGCTGGTGTCCTTACTTCTGCTGGATCCACCGTTCTCGCTCTGTCATGGCTGTTCTCTACTACCGCTCAAGAATTCCTTCAGTCAGTGATCTTTGTCTTCGTCAAACATCCTTTCGATGTGGGTGACCGTGTCGGCATCTACGGAAATACAGGGGCCTTGGGACGTGGCGATGATTACTTTGTCAAAGAGATTGCTCTTCTCTACACCGAATTCAAGAAGATGGAAGGCCATGTTGTGCAAGCTCCGAACAGCTACCTCAACACTCTGTTCATTCTTAACCAACGCCGGTCGGGCGGTCTCGCTGAAGCTGTTCCAGTCACCATCAAATTCGGTACCACGCTTGACCAAATTGATCAACTTCGTCAACGTTTGCTGGAATTCGTTAAATCGGAGAAGCGAGAGTATCAAGGAAACATCCTTACTGAATTGCGTGAAGTCTTCGAAGCTCACTCCCTAACCCTGAACGTCGTCTTCTTCTACAAATCTAATTGGCAAAATGAGCTGCTCCGTCTTCAGCGCCGCAACAAGTTCATTTGCGCGATGATGGTCTCAATGCAGGAACTTGGGATCGAAGGGCCTCGCATGCGGTACCCTGGTCAGAAGGAATCCTTTCCTGTCTACCTGCAAAATGTTCCCCATACTGCTACACCCGGTGTTGGGCACAACGGGACACCAGATAACCCCAGTGGCATCACCACGCATAGCGATTATCAAGATCCTCCTTTCGTACCTGCGGCGAGCGATTCGGGTAACAATCCTCCTAATCGCTATGGCTCCATCCTCCGCAATAGTGGTACAAGGCCTCGCGGAGAGTCTCTAGCAGCCATGGGTCGCCGCGTTGACTTCTCCTTGGGCATGAAAGATATCTCCGCCAGCGACATGACTGGCGATGTCTATGAAGATCGCGAGTCTCAGTCTCGTACTAGGGCCACCGTCAATAGGGTCACATCCCCCTCTCGGAATTCGCAAGATCGTGCTCGACGGTCTCACGAGACAGGCCGTTCTACCTCAATCGCGGATAGCTCAAGCCGGCCATTCGGGCGCCTCCAGCGTGTCAATACAGACAGTACCCAGGCTCGAGAACGTAGCAGCCACCGGAACCGCTTCTTCGGCCGTAGCCATCGTGGTCAAGCCGATGAGGAGACTGGCATGGCCGATATTCCCGAAAGCGGTTACGATTTAAGCAAAGATAAGCTGGATCCTCGCAGCGGCCTCGTTAGTACCGCGGCAATGAGGATGGAGGGTCAAGACGCCGCTGCTACCCACTCGTCAGGCGCATTACCAACCACAGCGGACTCTGAGCGGACTTTCCACGCTCCTCATCGTGCCCGGACCGATACCTACGAAATGAGACACCTCCACTGATGAATCTGAGAAAACTTTCCTCTGTTAATAAATTTTCGACTTTCCAGCATTTAGAGGCGTACGATGTTTTTGGTGGTTAGCCTTTAGGTTTTATACTTTCATAGCGTTGAGCTCCAACACCTTGGGCTACGATTGCCACTCTGCAGAGTGAAGTTACGAGCATAATCATAGAGGGTGGAATTTAGCATAGGTTCAATGAAGCTAAGTGGTAGAAATTGAAAACCTTAGGACTGCCTGAACAGAGAGGCATGTGAAACTATTAGAATGTGAAACTATTAGAATCATGACACTCAATTACCTTTTCAAAGGGTTGTACGGTGCAAGCCTCAACGGCAGAGGGAGAGCTGGACGCAAGCTTTTGTTGTCCAACTTGGTTGATAGGACTTGCATTGTGACCCACTCGGGTGTTGTAGTGGCGGACCACACGGTTGGTCCACGCGTTGGCACACTGCCAAGACCCACACGCCAAATAAACAGAAGTGCCCCGCGCGATGTCTCAATGCCTTCCTTCACCGCTCGTTGCACGACGGCCTTCCCTACACCACCCCATAACTCAATCCCCCACCCCCAGTCTGTTTGATACAGCTTAACACATCCACTATGCGAGGAGAGGTAAGATTTGACACCAGTTCCGTGCCTGGTGGCCTGGTTTTCGTCTTTGACTGACCATGTACCTTTACCCCCTACTCTACGTACAACCGAGATGCTAACCACGACATGTGTTAATAGATCTGCCACCTCCACATCGGCCAGGCCGGTACCCAGCTCGGCAACAGTGCCTGGGAACTGTACGGATCCTTCCTATTCTCTCCCTTCTGATAGGAAATCTCCCTTGAAGCCACCTACTGACTGGTGCTGCACAGATATCTCCTAGAGCATGGGCTGAAGGCCGATGGACGTCCCGACCCGGACGCGAAGGACCTCGCAGAGGGTGGCTCATTCGAGACCTTCTTCACCGAGACCGGTAGCGGAAAATACGTCCCGCGCTCCATCTTCGTTGACTTGGACCCTTCCGTATGAACCCTGATACTCTCGTGGTGGGCTAGAAACTGATGCATACCGTAGCCCATTGATGAGATCCGCACCGGAACATATCGTCAATTGTTCCATCCCGAGCTTCTCATCAGCGGCAAGGAGGACGCCGCCAACAACTGTGAGCACTTCACACGTGTCTGGCAGGTAAGACTATGCTAACGATGGTATCAGATGCTCGTGGTCATTACACCATTGGCAAGGAGATGGTTGACAGCGTCATTGACCGTATTCGGCGTGTTGCCGGTACGCATCACACCAACAAATGCTCCGACCGTGTGCCTAATGAAGAACAGATAATTGCTCCTCGCTGCAGGGATTCTTGATCTTCCATTCTTTTGGCGGAGGAACCGGATCTGGTTTCGGTGCTCTGCTTCTCGAGCGTCTCTCGACCGACTACGGCAAGAAGTGCAAGCTTGAGTTTGCCGTGTACCCTGCACCACGTGTTTCCACGTCAGTCGTCGAGCCGTACAACGCCGTTCTTTCCACCCACAGCACCATTGAGAACTCCGACTGTACCTTCCTTGTCGACAACGAGGCTGTCTATGACATCTGCCGCCGTAGCCTGGACATTCCCCGTCCGAACTATGAGCACTTGAACCGTCTGATCGCCCAGGTCGTCAGCTCTATTACCTCCAGTCTACGATTCGATGGCGCGCTCAATGTCGATTTGAACGAATTCCAGACAAACTTGGTCCCCTATCCGCGCATTCACTATCCTCTCATCAGCTACGCACCGGTCATCTCGGCCAAGAAGAGCTCGCATGAAAGCTTCAAGGTTCATGACCTGACATTCCAGTGTAAGTTGTTCGGCCTCTTCGTTACTTTTCGGGGCGATTCTGACGTGAAACAGGCTTTGAACCCAACAACCAGATGGTTGTCTGCGATCCCCGCAACGGAAAATACATGGCTGTTGCGCTTTTGTACCGTGGTGACATTGTTCCCCGTGACTGTACAGCTGCCGCAGCAGCTCTGAAGGCTAAGGCATCCTTCAACCTGGTGGAATGGTGCCCTACTGGCTTCAAGCTCGGTATCAACTACACCAAGTAAGCTGTCCCCCC